CGCTGGTTCAAGAGACAGTCGCAACGATCATACCCTGTGTCCTGTTGGTTCCCACCAAGCTCTTCTCCAAGATCCCTTCGGCACAGAGGAAGCAAATCAGCAGTACGATTCGCTCGATTCGCTCAAAGGTCATCGAGGCCGGCAGTTGAGTTGGGGCGAGTCCAGCCAAGTGTATTGTTACAAAGGAGAGGAAGATGGTGCTTCTCGTCTCGCTCCATGCTGCACCCGCCAGATCGAGCGTGCTCCCTGATGCCGATGCCGATGCCGATGCCGTCGGCGAAGCAATGTTGCATCGCCGCATTTTTGCACCTCCCAATACATTCCAGCAGCACCACGGTTCTTCTGCAAGCACCGTTTGTCGACTCTGGGCCATTCCCCCAACTCATCGATCCATCGGGATTGCGAGACCAAGCGTCCTGCAACATCGCTGTGGTGTCCACCTTGTCGTTGTTCACGGGTGCAGTTGGATGGGCTCAGCCAATGGTGGTGCTGGCGATGTGCAGGCTCGGGCGACAGCGGATCGACGGAGGCTCGGACGACAGAGGATCGACGGAGCCTCAAGACCGACCCGGATTAGAGTGCCACGGACTGGTACTTGACGGCGATCATGATCCAGATCGAGCAAGCCGTTTCGGCGTACGGAATGACCTTGCACTGCAGGCCGAAGCGAACCTTGTCGGCTCGGGTCGCTATCAAATCGCGTGCTGCTGCAGCCTTGAGCAGCCCGTTGAAGAGCTTTGGAGGATCGAGATGATTGAACTGGCATGGAAACGCCTGCAGTCGTCGGCGTGGATGGGTCAGCCGCTGCAGAGAGTGCGATGCGAGGGTGTGGTCCTCGGCGCTGAGTGTTTGCCAGAGAGCGATGGTGGGCCCAACAGCAATCGCTGGCCCGAACAGCGATGTCGTCCTCCACGGCAACGATGTTGGCAGACGCACCCACCTTGAACGTCGATCCATCAGGGATCGATCGCCGAACGCCAGCTTCAAAGTATCCCCGTCCAACGAGATCACATTCGGACTGGCCCGTTCCGCCGCTGGAGAAATAGAGCTTCTGCAGCTCGTACCCAGACAGGCACTGGCGCAACAGGTGGCCGAGATGCACATCCCAGATGCAACACATGTCCCTGTCCTGCCTGAACTCGGATATGTACTGCTTGATCTGGTCGGCGATTTCGAGCTCGGTCTGCCGCGAGCACCACGACGAGGGACATGGCCGGAGCGACAAGCCGAATCCTGGGGTCGCCGCGATCCTCATGGATCGGAGAGATTCTGCCGAAACCATCTTCCACTGCGACGGATCCGCCAAGTTGAAGCTGCAGCGGTCGACCGAGTCGCACGACTGAGGGGTGTGGGTGTGGATGTGGATGTGGATGTGGATGTGGGTGTGGGTGGATCGATGAATCCCACTCCACACACACCAGGTCGCTCCACACACACCAGGTCGCTCGTTCACGCACCATACCGCCCAACACCGCACCATGCAATGCCTCACCTGGATATTGGCAAGGAGTGTCTCCCCGTTGAACAGACAGCCAATGTTGCGATATGGATGCGGGTCGTTGGGCTTGTACCGTATCCCACGCAGCGGGTCCCAGATATGAACATCGCCTGCCAGGCACCATGTCAGCATAGTCGATTGGCTTGCGTCTCTGTCTTTGGGTGACCGACGGGCTCGCATGTCGAGCAGCTCGGTGTTTGAATGCCTGTCGCCTGCTCGGCACAACTTCTGGTGTCGAACACCACCAGAGCACCACCAGACCACCACCAGACCCCCACCAGAGCACCATCGATGGCCCACTCACCAGACACATCAATCGTCACAACCCAGCAGGTTGCTGTGCCGTCTCGTCCAACCCCGCATGCAACATATGCATCCAGAGAAAACCCTTGGCGACGCAATCGAATGGCATCAGTAGCTGCCTGGCGCATCAGCTGGCCATCCCACCACATTCGTGGGCGGGCTCGGCACCTCAGTCGACAGTCCCGCCGCATCGCTCCGGGGCATCACTCGGACGCAGCGCTGACTCACCGAGAAGCAGATTGCACAGGAGTATGCTGTGGTCGTGGGCATCGCCATGGCCGGCACACAGAAAGGTGTGCAGACTCTGCCAGATATCGGCACTGGGTTGAATGCAGTTGTCAGTGCGTTGTTCGATACAGCCCACACGTCTGCCACAACATCCACTCCACCACTCCGTCACAGCACTCCATCGCTTCTTGACAGCAGCCCAGATATCCGTCGCACCCAGTCCCAGTATCCCGCTCTGTTGCGCATGATCGAAGCCACCGTCCTCCGAGCAACTGCAGTGCGTGATGTGGGCTGCTGCACGCCCGACGACATCATACTTTGGCTCACCGACAGGCTTGATTTTGTGGTACGGAATCAGAGAAACAAAGCGCAACGCATGTCGGGGGCTCTCGATGGAATCGGCTGTGGGATGTCGTTTGATCAGCGCCAGTCACAAACAAGCTGATTCCTCAACCAACGGCCCGGTACTGAGTCCCATAGCCAGTGTCTCAGTCAATCCCGGCACGGATCTCAGCCGATCCCAGTGCTGATCTCAGCGATCTCGCAGCCGACGCCTCCTCGATGCTGACCCAATGACTCATCCCTGCAAAGCCGGCCGCCAGTCCTTTCGAGCAGCGATACCTTCGATCGGATATATGTATCCGGTGACTGGGCTGCGGTGGCCCTGTTCATCAAGTGCAAAGATCTTGACCAGCCGATTCGCATGGGTGCTTCGGATTTGCAGAAAGTCTGACCACCACTGGCGACGGGATTGGATCGGATCGCAGACATTCGGCGCAGAGTCAGGTGCAGTCCTGCGGCCCAGCTGTCCTTTTTGTTTCAATAGCGCACCTGGCCCAGCTGTCCTGTGGCCTGCTGTGCGGTGGTGCTGTGGTCCTCTCCGAGGCTCGGAGCTCCTCGGCACCAAGGATGTCTGAGCCCGGCAGATGGTGCTGTCGAGAAGTGACTTGCCTGCTTTGCATAGAGGTGAAACAGACGAGCGGTATCCGTGATGGCACGCTCCTCCCGTTTGATCTAAACTTTCAAGAATCGAGCGCAGTGTCAGAGGCGATAGGCACGAGCGATGCACTTCCCATGAGCGAAGCGATTGGCAGGAACGATGCATTTCCCACCAGCGCGAAGGCTCTGCCGCCGGCCTCTCCAGACACTCAGGCTGAACTGCACAAGCTGCATCGGCGGCTCTGTCCACCGACCGACAGGATCATATCCATGCATCGCATACCAACCCACACCAACCCACACCAACCCACACCAACCCACACCAACCCACACCAACCCACACCAACCCACACCAACCCACACCAACCCACCAGAAACTCGAGCTCATCTCGATCCAGGAATTGCGTCGGCTTTGGGAACAGCTCCAGGGTCAGCTCGACGAGCCCAGCCGTCAGCTGGCTGTTGCCAACCTCTCTCAGCTCGGCGAAAGCAGAGACTTTGTCAGCGACCAGCACCTGGGATTGTCCGAAAAATCGCAAGCCGTTGTGTCAGATACAGTGTCAGTGCCGGTGCTGGATGCTGGTGCTGGATGCTGGTGCTGGTGCTGGTGCTGGTGCCAATGCTGGATGCTCTGGTCCGGAGCACATCGTTACCTCTCGCCACTCGACCACAGCTGAGCCAATGACAGATCGGGTGAAGTGTCCGTCGGATCGGATGGCGACAAAGTGGAGCCGGTCGCCAATGCTGGATATCGACTGCAAATCGGCTTGCTGGAGCAGATGGCAATAGAGAGGGCGGATGAGAACCAATTGCTCGTGACAACAGGAGCCGATTGTACATGGCGATAGGAGCCAGTTGCAGATGCGGACCACCAGATCCGTCACGCCACCGTCGCAATCGAGTCAGACCGGAAGCTCAATCATCCACGATTCGCTGAAGCGGGGATCAGTCGTCGACGGGACCAGGGATGTCGAGAGTCGCTGTGCTCGGAATTGCACATCCAGACTGAGCCATGTCGATTCCTGCAGCACAAGAGCCATGTCAGCCGGCTTGCCGATCTCTCGGAATGCCCCATCACTTGCCTCCGGCTTGGCCCCGCCTGGTCGCCGCTGATCAAGGTCGATCGATCTTGATCCACCCTGATCGAGACTGGCTGGAGCTGGTCGAGACCAAGTCCTGATTGGTTGCGGCGCTTTCCCCAGCACCTTCCCAGCACCTTCCCAGCACCTTCCCCGCCCTTGCAGCACTCTTGCACAATGTCGGCAAACCTCCTGGATCTCCTCGAGCCCAAGGAATGCTCTCCCTTGGCCAAGCTCGATTCTCAAATAGCGGCACCCAGGCTTTGTCGCTGTCGCTGGGACCTTTGCTCGTCCGCCATGATCTCGACCGACAGCGATGCAGGCTTCTTGCTCCATCGCATCTGCCGATCCCAAGGCTCGCACCGGGTCCGAGAGGCTCTGTCTGGACACCGTCGATACAGAGCGTCGTCAAAATGGGCCGTGATGGACGAGGATCACAGGAGTCAGCAACTGAAGCATCGATGGCCAAAGGAAAGGGTCCCCAACCACATGCAACTCCAACCACATGCATCAACAGCCACATCTCCAACCACACCTCCAACCTCAGTTCCTTGGAGACACGCTCATAGACATCTTCGATCAACCCGCTTGCGGCAATCGACTCTTGGATCTGTGTGAGCAAACAGAGTCAGTCTGGCTGTTGTGCTGGACGACCAAGGCAGTCCAACAACGGTGCAAGAACCATACATTGCGGTCAGACTCGTATTCGTCCAAGGCACTCATCGGCTCGACCAATGCAGATGCAAAGACGAAGCCCAGACCCGCCAGCGAGACAATCTCGCAACACTGCAGCCGAGCTTGGCGGCAACCTGGGCGGCAATCCGGCGGCAATCCGGCCGCAATCCGGCGGCAATATCGAGCCATTTGCATACCCTGCGCGCCAATATCGATGCCGACAACGATCCCGGACAGACCCAAGCACGATCCAGAACAGACCCGCACCAACCGACTTCTCTCAAGATCCCGTTGGCCCTGCAGTAGCTCACAGGCACCATGATACGCACCACAGGTATGTCTTTGGGCGGCATCCACCCAGCACAGTCGCTGGCATCTGCTCGTGCAATGGGCCGTTGCAAACGCAAGGGTCTGGAGCATGACGAAGCAGCATCACAGCCCGTCAGTCCGTCAGTCCGTCAGTCCGTCAGTCACTCCGCGAGAGAGTGGGAATGCAGACTCGTTGACCAATGTGCTCCAGCAGATGGCTCTGGTGACGAACCCCCGCCGCTCGAGGACATGAGCGTCTTCATGGCCCAGCATCAGCGACTCTGGCCAGCATCGGGTGCGTTGCGAGCAGAATCGGTGTCTCTGCATTGGCCGGAATCGGCCGCTTTGCATCGGAAGTCGGTGCTGTTGCATCAGCCAGCAGGCAGCGACGAGCCCTGACCTGCGACTCCCACTCGACAGTGCTGACACCCGGCACCGACCGGGCTCCCAAGGCCGGCCTCAAGGCACAAGAAGCAGCTGCGACCAAGGTGTGCATTCGGCATGGTGCTTGTTGGGATGTCTTGTCCGATGTCCTTCTCGCGAAGGGATGTGCATTGGCCGTGCTGCTGTGGCTCCTCTGTCCCTCGGCCGTGCTGATGTGGTTCCTCTGTCCCTCGCCCATCCATCCTGACTGCCATGCCAGCCGACGGAAACGGCCCCGGACACACCAGCCTCGACCGACTTTGGAGGACTCAAGAAGGGTTTCTTCAGTCGAGCGGCTGCTTCTGTTCCCAAGCCGTTCAACCAGCCCAAGCAGCCCAAGCAGCCCAACCAGCCCAACGAGTCCAAGCAATCCGACCAGACCAGTGCCGCAGAACCAATGCCCTTCATCCGTCCAAAGACGACCGACGAGTCGAGCCTTCGCTTCAGCGAGGTGCAGCAGGCGATGGGACAAGCTCTCGCCAACAAGCAGGGTATGGTCGCTGCGAAAGTGTGGGAACTGGGACGCAAGAGACGCTCGATCCTGGCTGCATCCACCAGCACCACATCCACCAGCACCACATCCACCAGCACCACATCCACCAGCACCACATCCACCAGCACCGCATCCATCGGCATTGCATCCATCGACACCACATCCATCAGCGCCGCATCTGCCACCACCGCATCTGCCCAGTCCGCAGCTCTAACCGCAGCTGCTCCATGTCCAGAGTGGATCACACCCGACTTTATCGAGACCATCGAGGCAAAGCCTGGTCTGCGTCGGGCCATGGACGATCCGCTCTTTGCAGTGGTCCTCGAGGAGATGCAGCGCGATCCACAGACTTGCATCCGCAAATACGCTTCAACCAGACCAGACTTGCTGATGGCTTTCCGGGAGATTGCCGGCCAGATGGGATCCCATCTGGAAGTAGTGGAGCCACAGAGCACTCGCAGCAGGACCACAAAGCCGGCCGTCGAGCTCCAGCAGCAACTTCCGCCTCACGAACAGGAGCTGGTCGAGCGGGTGCAGCGAGATCCCGAGGCTCAGGCGGCATTGCGAGATCCCAGAATCCAGAGAATCATTGCTGCAGGTCGGAGCAATCCTCTGCTCCTGGCAGAGTAAGTCATGTCCGGGCGACTGGAGTGGTGCCAACTGGAGTGGTGCCAGCTGGAGTGGTGCCAGCTGGAGTGGTGCCAGCCGACCGCCGAGCGAGCATCGCTGGGCCATGATCGCTGGGCCATGATCGCTGGGCGAGCACCTCTGGGCCGACAAGCGTTGACTGAGCCGGATGATTCTGCAGGGTGACCAGAAGCGCCGATTCCGATCTGGCAGCAAAGTTGCAGAAGCTGATGCAGCTCGGCATGCTGCAGATTCAGAACTAGGCTCAGTGGCGATTGAGCCGGCGCATCCAGCTCTTGGACTCACACAAGACTCGATTCGAGACTGGAGGATGCTGCTGGGGCCTGCAGGCGCATGGTGGACTCGGCACCGATCCGAATCCTCTGAAACTGGCTCTGGTGGTGATGACATTGATGCAATTGTCCTCCACGACATATCATGACTACATTGACATCGAGGCCCTTGCATCTCTGTCCCGGTTGTGTCGAGAACATCATTCGAGGCGCCGGATGCACACCCTGGTGCCTTGGTGATTGTCGCCAGGAGCGGCCATATTCCTGTCACCAGCCTCCGCAGAAGGCCTCCAGTTTGCCTTTTCCTGGCCCATGTCCATTTGACCAAATCTGGCAACATTGCGGACATCGCGCGCCATGCACCCGCCTTCTCGTCCGGTTCTTGGCTCGCATTCGCCTCTCTCCGGTGTCTGCTGGCCCTTTTGGCTGTTCCAAGCGTCTCTACCACGGCCTTCTGTCGCTCGCATCGGTCTCCTCAGATTCATTCATCTCCTCGAGCGGCTGCCCTTATTACCTCCAACCGTCCCTCACCTGTGCCAAGCTTTGGACACGTCTCATTGCGAGTGGCTTGCAATGAAATCCTGGTCTCGGCTGGAGGACGCCCGCCTCATTGAAGCAGTCCAGAACAATGGGGAAAAGTGGGGGCTGATCGCTGCAAGCTTGGGGAGAAAAGCAAACGAATGCATAGAGCGACATAAGCAGATCATTGCAGAGGGCAGCATCCCAATCAAGAAGGAGCCTGGGACCGTTCTTCCGAGCTCCAACCGCATGCCGCTGCAGGATGCCACATCCAAGACGAATGTTGTCGTCCCGTCGACACCCTCAAATACCAGATCCAGCAGGCTCAGCAACGCTCCCCAAAAGATCACCGCTGCCCTTCCCGCAACCCCGACCCACTCAGATTTCTCAGTCCCGACGACTCCACGACTCACTCACAGGCTCACTTCGTTTCCGCTGGCCTCACCCTCGGCAAAGGAAAATATGCCCGTTTCCTCTGGAGTCGGCGCCGATGCAAGTCGGTCTGATCTCGGCGACGATCTCCGCAAGGATAAAAAGAAAAAACTCCCCCTTCCCCGGAAAACCCCCAACTCCAAAGTATCTGGCTCCAAAGACCCCACTGGTGCCGATGGAAAGTCGCTCCCTTCCGCCGGCTTGTCTGCTATCATGCCTCCCAGCCATCCACTTCTGCATAGCACTGCCCTGCCGTTCTCACCATTCATACCTACCATGGCTGTCGATCCTCACTGGCTCGAACGCCATTTTGGTGGCGCCATGGTTCCGCCAAGGACATCGCAGGATGTAGTGGATCCTCAGACCCAAGAGGGGACACCGACTCAGGCAGCCCCGGCACTAGCCATCTCGAATCCAGATCCCTCGTCCGGGACATCCGCAAATCTTTCCCTCGTCCCTGGCGTGGCTGCCTCACCTGACTTTGTCGCCCTTCCCCCCATGCCATACATCTTCCCAGGCATGCTTCCCCATGGCGTCGATGGATCCCTGGCATTCAACCCTCAAGCATGGATGGCATGGAATGCGGATCCCAACAATTCTGGTGCTGTTCTCTGTCCGCCGCCAGGAATAATCCCATCGGTGTTTCCATTGGCACCAAGCGTATCGACGATGGCCCAAGACCGCCCCACGAACCAACCGAACCAGCCCAAGACTCCCAACGCAAGAAAAACTGCCGCTAAATCAGCCTTGCCGTCAAATTCCACCAACAAGCACAAACAGATTGCACCGATGCCATTGCTCGTGCCCATCAAGCAGGAGCCGCCACACCCAGCGGATATTCCATCGAGCTCACAGCGCTCAAAAGACATCTTTACCTCTCCACCTCCTTCAAAAGTCGCCCGTCCCAAATCCAACGTCGTCCCTCCAACGTTCAAAAAGTCACACCAGAAGAAAATACCTCCTCCGGAGCAGCTCCAGCATCTGGAGGATGCCGATGACGACAGCAATAGCGAGTCCGACCCGAGCGCTCTCGTATCGCTGGCTCCTGAGTACGGTGCTCAAGAATCATGGGGTCTTCGGGAGCATATCCACGCTGTAGCTCCTGTACCTCCCAAGCACGCTTATGGATATTCAAAATCCCGCACGGGCATTGCACCATCCCAGTCATCCACGGCAAACGAGGCTCTGCTCTCTGGTGGCAGGGATGTGAGTCACCCACGCAATGCAGTCGGTGAATTGGCCGAAGGACATCTAAACTCAAACGCCCGCGATCACGATGCTTCCAAGCATCAACCTCATCTATCAAGCGATCTCTATATATCAGATCAAGATGATCCGCCCTCAGCTTGGACGGATTATGAAAGTAAAGTCGGTGTCAACGATCCTGTCGGCGAATCAGATGAAGAGGTTCGCAATGGCTCAACCATAGCCGCCGGTACTCCTTCGCATCGATACACAAGCAGGGCCTCCTCCATCACTGACAACAACGACAATGCAAACTATGTTGGCGATGACCAAGAAGATATGCTAGTCCAACAAATGATCAAGCAACACGCACGCCAAGCGAACTTGAAGGAGGAGCAGCTCGAGGAACTAGATATGACGGCCTCTGCGTCGTCATTACTGCGCGGAGGAAGTGGCGAGAGGAAGCTGATCACCACAACCACCACAACCGAAGAGATTATCGAGGAGCCACGCGTTAACGGAAGCAAGACTATCAAGCGCCGCATCACGACTGTAACAACGACGACTACAGTCGTCGACAGTATCCTTGACGAAGGCGGTACCGGCGGCTCGGCGATAAGCCAAACTCCAGCGAAACCCGAGCTTAGACGGAGTGCCAGTCAATCGTCAAAGCGGGCCGTTGGCGCTGCCGGTGCTTCTGCAGCTCACTCGTCTGTCGAAAGTGCAAAGGCAGAGCCTGCTCTGGAAGCAAGGTCAAGCCTTTCCAAGGTAAAGCGGATCGCTATTTCGAAAGTTGGGGCCGGAAAAGGCTCGGCTGGCTCCAGCAAAGCTCTTGTCCCTGCCCCTGTCTCTGCCGAAGACGTCGGTCATGACACTGCGGACGTGCCTGAAGGTAAATGCTTCGCCCCCTGCGTTGTCCTGATGCGATGGCTCCATGTCTTGGGCCACCATCGGTGACTTCTATCGAGTCTTTCCTGATGATGAGTCTTGTATCATCCACATTCGACGGGAAAGAATGTTAACCTGTCCCCTTGGAAAAGCAGAAACCGAGTTGGACTTGCTGTTCGAAGATTACCTGGAAACCGATGACGCTGATGACAGCTTGATCCCGACCCTGCGTCCAATCGACTGGGACTGCGAAAGGTTGGTTCCCTTGGTCGACACAACATCAAAACACCCTTCAGAATCAATCGGTTGCCTGACTTTGTTACTCTTCCAGATCCGCATTCAGCACCGACCAAATATCCATGCTCAGGCGACAGCTGTCCCAGAATTTCCAATTTCTTGTTCAGGCCTCGACGATGATGAAGGAGATCAAAGGCGACAGTCATCCCGAAGTTGAAGACTGGCAAAACCAGATGGTAGGCTGTGCATGGCGGCACGATCATGGACTTTGCTTGGGTGGAATTGTCTTGGGCTGGCGCGAACACAGCCGCGTCTGATTTAGCGTCTGGAGTCACAGCCTTTTCCTGTGAAAAGATGCAACCGTACTGATGGTAGACGCTCTTTCTTGTGTTCATGTCCTTTCCAGTGGGAGCTACTCCAATGCAAGCAGGAGTCGACCGCTGCCCACTCCTCACTAGATCCGACTTTCACGAACCTCTACGATATTCCGAATCTCGAACGAGTCCCAGATGTCGTGGCCATTCCTCTGGACCAGCGCGGCACCCGTCATCGGGAATTCCAGCAAGCATACGAGCTCGTCTCCACGTTTCAGGAGAAGAAAAAGTTCCTCAAGCGTCTTGAAGAAGAAAACAAAAAGCAGCAGGTTCTCGGCGCAGATCTCAACAAACGGTTTCGTCGCCGCGGCCTGGCGCCTCGCATTTCGTATTACCTTCCTTGGCCAGAGGGCCTCGAAAAGGCTCTCAATATGTGCGGACAAGCTTTTGATCCCAAGCTTCATCCTACAGTGCTGCGAAGTTTGTATCGTTCTGCGTATTCATCGCCAGATATCCTGTGATCTCAGCGCCGAGTTTCGACGACATGCTGCTGTCGATCCTGTTCTCTGGGTGACTTTCACACAGCCACTCTCTTGTTGTTATCTCTGGAAGTGGCGACAGATTCTGTGATAACACAATCAACTCACTGGGTGAACTAACCATGACGTGGCTTAACCGTGCTCTCCATTCCCTCCGTTTCCCACAGTGCGAAGACCAAACTCCTACTTTATGGAGCAAGAAGATCAGCTTCTTCTCAAAGGACTGCAGTTCTTTGGCTTGAATGGCATATCGTCAATCCGGGCCCATTTGCTCCCGACACGAACCCATCAGCAGCTCAATTCTCGAATCAAGACGCTTCTCGGTCGTGTTGTTTTGTCGAACAACCCAATTCGAGTAATGCCTGCTGTTGATTCTCGCGTATGATCGAATTATGTCCACCGTTATTGGCCGCCGTTTTACTCACATGATAGTTCTCTGATGGTATTTGTTCGTCCCTCCTCCATCCGCCATTCAGGACCTGTTTTGGAAGCCATTCAAGCCACTCACTATTTCCGAGCGCGAGCTTGTGGCAATGGTGAGAATTGTATTGGAGTATGCCTGCGCTGTCATTCACACTGTGGCGTTGAACGGCTCTGCTTCCTCAGTGTGTGTCCAGATGTATTATTGATCCTGAATGCTCTCGATCCCAGGCGGTGCATGCATTCGGCGCCACTCGATCCGAAGCAATCCTGCCTCAGCTCTTAGACCACCACCCAAAGTCGCTGATTCTCATGACATGGGCGAGCATGTACTCGCTGCACGAGGTTGGCGAATGCCATCTCGAAAAAATCCCTGCCATCTTCGAGCGGCTCAACCGAATCATTTCTCAAAGGTTGCTTAAAGAGCCACCGCCTGATGCAGCACAGGCCGCGCGAGTGACGGATACGTCCTCGGCTCCACCAACCGCTGCTGGGCCGAACGACTCGGCCGGCCCGCTTGTTTCTACAACCGATGCTGTGGGGACCCATCCGATTGGACCTCCAACGGGGTTACCGGCATCGATAATGCCTCCAGTGGTGCCGCCGGTGGGCTCCGTGCCATTCGGGCCCCTCAATCCCATGGGACTCTTTGACATCAAGAATAATCCCGCCATGGCTGCGGCGGTTCCGCAGCTCATGAGCATGGGCAGCCAATCCAATGTTCCCATGCTCTATCCCCCGCAAGCCTACTATGGAATGCCGACGTATCCTCCGTTTCCGTTCTTCCCCGTGGTTCCTTATTCGGCACCAACTGAGTCTCCGGACACTCGGCGGCCGCGACCCATCTTTCCAAAACGTACCGAACCACAGACACCGTCATCGACAAAGGCGCCTGGAACGCCTCACTCAAACCCCAGGCCCATCCTATCTAATCCTTCCAGTCGGCCTTCGTCATCCAAGATCCTTGCTGCCAACGGTGAACTGGGAGATAAAAATAAGAAGCCGCAAAGGACTCGCGCTACACCCATCAATCTTCGCAGCAACCCAGCACCCGCGTCTGCGGTCCCTGAACCCTCACAAGAGCAGCGCTCGCAGTTGCCTGCCACGCCACATCGCCAGAGCAAGAAAGGCCATTCGGGATCGCCGCGCTTCGGAGACGTTGGGTCATCGCCTCCTATGCGCCCAAATGACCTGCTCAAATCACCCACGACAGCGCGAAAGTCCATAGGAATGATCTTGGACTCCTCATTTGATCTCGTGCGTGATCTCGCAGCCAAAGGCCGGCGACCAACGGCGCCTATCGCTTTGCGTGCCGCCATAGATACCCGTCACAACGAGAATGACGATTACCCAGGGACGGAACCGCGGAGGGCCGAGAACACACCCAAGCCCAAGAGAGCCCAAGATGTTGTTTCAGCCTCGCTCGCATTCAAGCGTAAGCTGCGCAGTGGAGACGACGAGGGCGACAACATTGCCGATCGCATCATAAAGGTAACTGAGCGCCCTTGGCCAGGCAAGGCTTTGATGCCGCATATATCGTTTGCGGCAGATGGACAAGATGGTCTGAACCTCAGTGTTACTTGCCTATCAGCGACGGCGCGGGAAGCTATCCGTGGGGGCGCTGAAAACACGATCTACCCCTCACGGCACCGGCAAGGGCGGATCGAAGCAAGCGCAGAGCTCAAAATCACCGCGAAAGGTAAGCGTGGTGCGATAGCCAAGCTGGCTTTGTTTGCGCAGAGACCAGGACGAACATCTACCGGATCTGCCTGGCGCATCTTGCTCTTTGAGCCATTGAGGGTATCTGACTCGATTCTCTTAAATATCGGTTTATCATCCCATATGGGGGGGGGCGTTCCCGCAGCGGTTGCGAACTCTCTCAGGAGGCAAAGCCGATAGTGCCCCTGTTGATCCCAACGACTTTTTGGATCGGATTCTCTCGTGAGTCCTTCGCGGTGCAAAATACGGAGAGTCTCGGAGAATGGCAACGCCTGATATAGAGGAAGCGAGGCGCCCGATTTTTTTGGTCACTTTGTCTTTAGCTGTGAATGCAATAAAAGGGGCATCCGGGTTTTGAACGATGAATGTGTGTACTTCAAGCACGATGAGTCTACGGTGTCCCGATTCATGTCGCGAGCTACAGCTTCTTACAGTCTATCCAGAAAGAAACGGGACACTTCCCCTTTCTGGCTTCAGATGTCTGAACCCCGCTGACTGACTGTAGGCCCAGCGGGCAGGCCATGGGATTGTTTCCCGTCCTGGTTGGCAATCGAGTGATTTTGGTTGGCTTGGGAAGCATGGTCTTGAATACACCCGGTCGATCTCCTGTGGCAATGATCGACTGGCATACCGAGATCATGTTCCTTGAGGCATTGATGTCTCGATCCCACAGCGTATGGCAGCTTGCACAGCTCCGGACAAAGTGTGGTTTCTCGATATCAAGATGCTCGACCTTCTCGAGTCGCTTGGCTTCCCGGCAGTGTGAGCACACCTGTGATGTGTTGAACTCGTTCACCGAGCACACATGGATCTTGGAGACGGATCGGTCTGGTGGGCGTCTCTGGTGGTGGTGGAATTGCTCAAAGTACTTGGCGAACCTGAGTCTCCTGGGACTGGAAGCATATCCCTCCCCTGTTTCCAGGATGCATTCCCAAAGGCAATCACCACTTCGGTCTCCTTGGACATACTTGCTTGGCCATGAATGCAATGAGTGGGCGTGTATTCAGGTTCCAGAAACAACGCCCTGGTTAAAAACGGGGGGTGTCCCATTTCATTCTGGAAACGCTGTAAGAGCGCGAGCCATCCGGTTCTTTGCTAGACTGAAAGTGCAAAGGTGGGCCGGAAACACAATAATCATGCAGTGATGGTGAGTTTGTCCGATAGGTCGTTGGGGCTGATAAATACAGCCGTTCACCGGAACGCCGCTCACGACGATGGCGGCGATGCAACGCTAACAGGGAGTGTGGGGCCAGCAGGGACTGTGGCGGCTGCCTGGCGTTGCGATGCTTCGGCGCGAGCGGCCTGTGCCCACTCGGAGATGAAGGTAAATCCCTTGAACTCCAGCTGATCTGCAGCGGAAAGGACCGAGTTCATTGGCGTCAGCACCGGGCGTTCCTTTGTGAACTCGCGGTCAAAGTTGGATGTATCGGTTGGAGAGCCCTATGTGCAAAGAAGCAAGCGGGTGTGTCTGGTCAGCAACACCGTCTGCGCAGAAACGCGGGTGCACATAGCCTCGCATCAGTGCGTTAGCCCTGATACTCCGACCCCCAAATTAAGTGATGCTTTCGCCAACGGGGCGGCAGCTACAAGGGTCTTTCGGCTTACGATGGTGGGCACAAAGAGGGGTGCGACTCGCTTTTGCATAAAGGCCTCCCAGTCGACACCGGCAAAATAGGCATGCTTCTTGATTTCTTCGGCATCGGACCGTCCGCTTCCAAGCCGTCGGGCGGGATTCTTGTTCAAGAGCTGTGTGGAGAATGTTAACCAGAGCGGTGTCAGCAAGACACGGCTTCGCTCCCATATTCCGGCACATACGGCTGATTCCAGAGCCACCACAGAGACACTTGGCCGCTTCGGCCGCCATCCCGCACGATGCTGAGCTTCTACTGTCATACCCCTTGCAGGACCGACAGTGTCTCCTTGGGCATATTCGAGGGGAACTCGATAGAGTCATCCAGAATGGCTTCAAGGATCTCATTTTCATCGTCGCCGTGGAAAGGGTACTGTTTCGGAGTGCATGGTCGGCTAGATTAGGAGGGGTTCCACCATGGCGTCGCTCCAATCGCCTCGACCGCCGTCTTGATTTAAGACCTACCTTGCCAACGAGCATGACGTAGATCAGAACGCCAAAGCTCCACCAGTCCACGGCGCGGCCGTACTTGTTCTGCAGCAAAATTTCGGGAGCCATGTAGTCCGGTGTGCCACAGAACGTCCTGGTGGTGTCTCCGTAGTGCATGTTTTCTTTGCAGATACCGTAATCGGCGACTTTGATGTGGCCATCGGGCATAAGCAGGATGTTATCGAGTTTAAGGTCACTGGAAGTTGTTGGCGTCATCTGCTGATTAGCAACATGATGGCTGGCGGTGTACCTTCCTGGTCTCGGACCCGAGCTCAAGTGCGGTTGGTTGGCTTACCGATAGATGATGTTGTTCTTGTGGAAAAACTCCAGTGCCAAAAGTACTTCGCAGGCATAAAATTTGGCTCGCCCCTGGGAGAAGCGCTTCTTCTCCTGGATATGGCACATCAAGTCGCCTCCCGAGACATACTCCATCACAAAGTAGATGCGGTAGTCGGTCTGGAAGCAGGAGTGGAGGTTCACCAGGAAGGGATGCTTGGTTTGGCTGGCAGCCTGGAAGATGCGCTTCTCGAGCTTGCAGCTGAAGGTTGGTTATACCGAGTCAATCCCGGGGTATCAGAGGCAGAGACACCACATACCATTCGAGCGGCTGAGGCGCATCGGGTAGCCGGGGCCATCCGCATTACGCGCAGCGCAAGTCACTCTACCTGGCAACATCGTCATTTTGAATAATGAATTCCTTCTTGAGTGCCTTGATGGCATACAGCTCCTTCGTAAGCTTGTCCTGGGCGAGCATGACTTTGCCAAAGGCGCCTCGACCCAAGACGGCGATAAAGTTGAAATCTTCTAGTGAAATAGCCACCTTTCTGCGAGGCTTCGTGACAACGACAGTTGCCGGTGGTCTGAAGGCGACATCTCCGGACTGAGAATGGGCTGAGGACTGCTGTGCGCGCGACGACGATGATGACGACTGGGTCTGGGAAGACTGTGGCGGAGGTTGTGTCTGGGATTGGGATACGGCAATCGGAGGCAGTGTTGGGGGAGACTGTGAGAGCGGCTCGCGAGGAGGAGACGTGACGCTGGGTCTGACGCTGGAGTCTGCGTCCTTGGGTTTCTCGAGCTGCAATTGGCTGAGTTGCGAAGAAACAGTCGACATTGTGGCCGCGCTTTTTTCAGCGTGCTGTTGGACTGACTGTGGCGGAGAGGGCTGTCTGGAGTGCGGTTTCTGTGAGCCTTGGGCCGTCGTCGCTATCTTCGACGAGGCATCCAGAGAGCCATCCGGAGAAGACATTCCGTGAGGGAGCTGGAATCCGGTTTGGCCCGTAGGCGAAGTTAATGCGGAGATATCGCCACTGGGACTTGGGCTCATGGCGACCAAGCGATTCCCGAATTCGTTAGAGGAGGAGCGAGGCGGAATGGCGATTTTCTCCCAAGGTCCATGAGGAGTATCATACGATTCTTTGCGCGCAGGCGGGGTTGGGTGGCCGTGATGATCCACGGACGGAAGCGTGGTGAACTCGGGCGGAGGCGGTGGAAACGCTGCCTCTTCGGCCTTCGCGGCCTCAGCAGCCTTGGCAGCCTCTTCAAGCTCACGCAAATGCATCTTCTTCTCGGCTTGCTCGAAAGCCTCGACAAGCTGGTCGGCCATTTGTGGGTCCAGGCCGCAAAAATGTGGCATCATGCACATGTGATCCTTGTGGCACGCCTTTCCGCACTCGGTGCACTTCATTATGGTCTTGCTCACGCCGATCGGAAGCATGTAGCCGCAGTGGGCACACCACGACGCAGCCAGATTGGCCGAGAGCGCAAAGCGGTGTGGAATGTTGTACTTGAGAAGCTGCCCGGTGTTCTTATCCTTGGACGGATCCTGCAGCATAATGCCGGCATCATGGCAATGGCGCACACGTACACAGACAAGTTTAGCGTCGCGGGCATGGAGCCAGTGCACGCATCTCAGGATATCCGAGGGCACTCAAGTGAGATCAGAGAGACGCTGCGATCAAGGGACGGTGCAGGTTGCGATGCGATGTCCTTCATATTGGCTGAGAGGGTTGCAATGGCCGCGTAGCGTATGGAGACAGTGGCCTTACCTGATTATCGTTGATCTCCTCCTTCGTGATACACTTGGTAATGACTCGCATGTAGCAGCGCGCATGGCAAGTGTACTGACAGTCTAAATCAGCCAGAGTAAAGTCAGGCGGAATGTCAGACGATGGATTGCGGCAGTGGCGGTGAGGTGGGTGTTGGTGTGGTAGCCTCCCCCCTCGGCAACACAGGCAACATCAGCGACACCAAACTGACTCACTTTGGCACTGGTAGCCCTGGCCGCTCAGAAACTCCTGACAAAGAGCGCATTGGAGCACCTGATAGAACTGCTGAGCCAGAAACTTGTGCCCGTTCCGAGGATAAACTTTCTGGACAGGCCCACGACGAGCCAACTGATCCTGGCCAGCTTGGCCACGCGAGATGGGCACTGTACAGTCACGGTGGCGCCGAGATCGTCGTTGGATTGAACGAACGCAGAATTTGCGGGGACATCAAGGCGTGAGCGGGATTGCACCAGCTCGAAAGCGTGCGAGTGCTGATGCGGGTCAAGATGGATGTGCGAGTGCCGATGTGGCGTGGTCACCGTCATGACGTACCGAATCCGAGCTTGAGGGAGACCTGCCCGCTGGGCTCCATTTCAAGGGCAAACTCGCCCATATCACCGGGATTGGCGTTGGACCTCTTGAGCTCGTCCTCCATGGTCGACAGCTTGAACCAAAGGAAGGACAGAAGGATTGTGCTCGGACCGGATCGGTCGCTGATGCAGATTTCGATTTCGCTGGCCTTGTCGACTTGGAACTCAATGTACTCGTCCCATTTGCTTTTGACCGGCCGAGTCATGCCTTTGCGGTGGCCATCGACACGGACCTCAGCCACGATCAAATCGTCGCCGCGTCGCCCAGGGATGTTTTGGCACGCAAGCATCTTGACCTTGACTCGACCTGTCTTTCTTGAGCTGCCGACCTCTGTACGGAAGCAGCCGGGTGGCGACGTAGCCGAATATCGGTTGTGCGCACAAGCGTCAGTTAACTCTACCACAATTCTGAGTGAGCGCCTCCATGCCCCGACGACGGGCTCTCGATGGTCCGGCGCGCACGACACCCGATGTAGATGGATGGACGCATGCAAATCCTACCGTTGAGAAGCCCCTCCTCGTTTTCGTCCCTTGGATCAGCAACGTACATGTCCGAATAGGCCTTTTCGGCCTTTCGGAGGAAGGTGATCTTGGAGTCTGCTTCAACAATCTTGTCGCGGAGCTCATTGAGCAGCTTTTGCTCGACAGGCGACTTGGACATGGCCGAGAGCATGTTTTCCGTGCCGGCCTTCACCTTGGTTTCGAGATCCAGCTTTCTTCGGACCTCCTCCAGGCGGAACTTGACTTTTTCTGGAGTCAGGCGGCTGTCGGCCCGCAGAAAATCTGAAGGAGAGCCAGTCGAGCGACGATGCGGTTAGCGAGAAGGTGAGGGGACGGCATTCAATCCTGCTTCACGAACCGCTGTCACGAAGATACAGAGGCGCCCAAATGGAACAGCTGGGACGCAACAGGCAGAGATTTCATGGGGGAGGGGGGCGTCCGGTCAGCCGAGCTGCAATGCTTGGTCGGTCTGGGACCATTATACCACAAGCTCCAATACCGACCAAACGCTGTTTCATTCTTTTCTGGAGCCTCGGCCAGGGCCGGAGCAGCAGCACTCGCTCCGCTGACCGATGGTCGGGGAAGGAGTTTCTGGAGTTCACTCTCGATGAAGGCGAGGCGCTGTTCCGAACTTGTGATGGTGACCTGGCAGTCGGCCAGGAGCCGAGGGTCGGTCAGCATTTTTTGCATGGCCTTGGCTCCATCGAGGACCTTTTTTTCGATGCCCAGACGGCTCTGGAGCTCGGCGATCTTGGATTGATTTGATGCCTATGCGAGAGGGGGGCAGATATATGTCCGGGATAGCGTCAGCCGATGTGATATTAGGCGGTGCAGATATCATCGAGTGCGAGACAATCAAATATCGACTGAGTGGCTGAATCGCACGAGCACTAGAATCGATCGAGCGACTTGTGTGCAAGGTGCACCAGCACCAAGCGATTGATGCGGGGCCATCGCATCAGGGCAACGGAAGGAGAGCGATGGACGGTGCCAGCGCAGCGAACTGGCGAGGCTAGACGAACGTGGCCTCTCCAAAGACGCAGTTGGCCTCGCTGCCTGGACCCAAGGCAAGAATCGCTGCGTAATCAGTCCCAGCGACAACCTACGTTTGAAGCCATTATTACTTGGGCACGCCCAACGGAATATTTGAGGTTTCAGAGGGCAGCGCGCGCTTGAAGAAGGCAAGTGGCCGACGGGTGGACGCAGAAGGATTGTGGAAACGGCGGCAACGAGTGCGCAATGAAAGCGGGATGGACTTATGGGGAGAGGGGCGCAATCGCAAGGGTCGGTGGGATGCGGGGCGGGGAAGGATCGACAAGGGCGACTCGCAATGGATAAGATAAGGCGGCGTGCAGAATATGCCGCCAGGTGCCTGTGCCGGAAGCGCTGCGGTGATGATGGGCGGATCTGGCAGCGGGACTGGTGCGATGAAACGGGAGGAAACGGGGCGAACAGCGACGAGGGGTCTTTGGTGGCGTGCCAGAGCCGTTGGTGGTCGGTCTGGGACGATGATGCGACCAGCTTGCGCAGCGGCGACACGGCGATATTCAGAATCTGGGCCCGAAAGCGAGTGCAGTCGCCAGCGAGCGTGCTGGCCATAGATCTGCTGCGAAACAAAGGCAGCCGTTCTCGAGGAGCCGTGCTGCGATGGAATTGATGCAAGTCGGCCCTTCTTGAGCCGATGCTGATTGGAGAAGGGCTGCGGTCCAATCCAGGGTGTTCGCGGGCGTCCTGGCACACATCGAGTGCTGAGTGCTCGGAGAACGAGTGAGTTCATACCGAATGAGATAGTGTTGTCTTGGAGGGTGTCGCCATTCGAATACGGACGTCCCTGGATGCGAGCCAGGACCGCTGCAGGCTGGATTCCAATGCAGTCCCAGGTGTTGCGAGGCCGATGGCAGTGGGGAGAGTGGACATATGTATTCAGGATCCGGAGAGAGTGGCCAGCGGCCATCCATGCAGAGCTGCCCGATCCATTTGCAAGTACTCTATCTGTGATCGCCAGAGGTGATGTTCATGAAGCTTCGGGACAGGATCAGCAAGGTGCCAATGGCAGGATAGTCCAGCGCAGTCAGGCCATGGACATCGACTTCTGGGGCCAGAGCGCCCTTTCCAAGACGGGCGGCTTCGGTTGCAGCAACCTGGCGGACAGTTCGGAAGACGTGATCCATGTACTGAAGGTGCTTGTTCATCAGCACGATGAGCTGCTCGCGGCTCTTGTTGTGCAGTTCGATAAAGCCTGGGTCAATGCGATCAGACGGTCAGTCGTCGGCAGTGGCCAGCCTCGCCATGGCGCTTGCCTCAGAAACCAAGTAAGCCACGGATCTCGTCGACGCAATAGCCGTATGTCCTTGAGCCGACAGCCGCATGTCCTTGGCTCACAGGTTGCGGGGAGTGGCGGTTAGGTACCATACCTCGCTCCTCCAGGGCCTCACAGAGCTCAAAGTCGCTCATTTGATTGACACCTTCCCGACGGATCAGCTGCAAAGCCAAGCCCGGCCTGATCAGTCCACTGCTGAAAGACAAGAACCACAGCCATCCCCATTGACTCAATCCAACGTGATTGCCTTTGCGATGCAGATCCATACCGTGTCGTCGGTCACGATCCAGTGGGCCCACTTGGCCACCGCCAGGCGAGGAAGGTAGTATGGGACCGTCTTGCCGAGGTAGCTGGTCATGGAGGCGGCCTGACCCAGCGGCAGGTTCAGGCAGTTTCCGTGGGTCTTGATCATGGGATAGATCACCAGAAAGTCGCCGTACGAAGGCTTGTTCTTGGCAACCTGCAAACCAAATGCGTTGCGGGCGATAGGTCAGGGGCGGCGATAAACACAAGCCAGCCGTTGACATATCGATGAACAGTAGCACCTGCAGCAGCGGCATAATGATGCCAAACGCCAACAGACTACAATGAATCGTGAGCAGCTCGGCCCCAGCCAGAGCGCCGACCAACCCTCCCCTTTCATCTCGCTCATCGGAGAGGATGAAGTGCAAGCAACACAGCGTCAGTACTTGCCATCTGTCCCCACTTTCGCACATGAAAGTCGGACGGATCAGTGGCCTCAAGCTTCTGGGCGAATTTGGAATAGTCGGCCACGATCTTGGGACCCAAGTGGCTGCGATGCTCATGGCTGCGCTTGAGCTTGGCGATCTGCAATCCAGTTGTTGGCAAAGCGTCACGGACTTGCCAAAAGCATTGTGGGCGATTTCATCGACCATGAGCACATCCGAAGAAGTGCCGACAGAATGGTGCCAGTGGCTGCAAGCACCCCTAGCGACTCATGATTCTATCCCGGCAAGTCAAGAAGCATGCGTCGCGAGCCTCCGTTTACAGAGACTGCCGCCCGTCCAACGGCAACAACAACTTACATATGCAGAGTCCGTATAGAATGACGACGGGAACAGCCCTGTGAATCGCCCGAGCGCCGACGGCAGCACTGGCCAGAACCAAGGCATCACCAGGAACACGAGCGGCGTCGGGATGCGGACAATGTCATGCTTCAACCTGATCATGTCCCCATGGAGGAATGGCCGCCGTGAGTCGTCGCATTGATTTCGAGCACGTCCATTTCCTCGCGGCACAGTGCTGGATTGGCTTGGTTGGGACGACCTTGGTTTGCGGCAGACTCACTGCCACTCCGCCGACGCTGCTGTCCCAGTGATTCCCTCATACCTGTGCATGTTGCGGATATCCACACGGCTGGTGGGCTTTTGGCCAACCAGGGTTCCAAAGAACAGCGCCGAGACGGACCACATGGCTCCAGCCAGAGAGGTCATGCCATGCGACTGCGGGAAGGATGGCGTTCGATTCAGCACAAGCCCAGCGGAACACGACGTGGGTGTAGCGATAGAGACCACAGGCTTGCAGCGACTGGTCGATGGCAGTCATAAGGATGCCGCCGGTCCGTTGTCGATGATATCCCTCGTTGCCGTGTCCAGAGCGTCACCAAGCTCGATCGCCCTAAAAGCACCGCCTCATCCAGGCCATACCAGGATATCGAAGGGCTCTGAAAAATACCGCTGCATGGATGACCGCGGCGGGGTGGCCTTCTTCAGGGCCTGTGAGATGTGGTCGGCCGAATCGGTGCGCTGGGCCAGCGCTCTGGAAGAGGTTGACAACACCATGATCTGGTGGCCGTGGGCCCTGCGGACGACGGAGCGCATGTATCGAGGGGGCTGTTGGGCCAGAGTTTGGCTGACCCTCAGGGCCAGAAAGGCAGGCTCTGCAGCAAGTCTCATCACGGCGGCGACGGCGGGTTGCGATCGGAGCCGTCTCGGCGATCCAGTCTTGGTCCTGGTCGGGTGTTGGTCCAGATCGGGTGTCGGATGGGTGGTCGATCGAGAGCGAGAAAAAAAGCAAGCTGGTGCCACGTGACAGGCTCCTGTGTGGGAACTGGGTCCAGCGCGAAACCAGGTCCCGATATCAAGCCGAGCACAGCTGGGACGAAGCAGGGACGAAGCGAGGACGAGGTTAGACGCTACCGAGAGGCCCAATCAGGCAGGAGCCTCTGTCTCTTGAGCGTATATGATCAAACCCCGCTTTCCCCTGACTCTATACAAGGAGCGTGTCGCCCCAGTCTGTTTGACACTTGCTTCCCAGCCTCACATCCTCACCAGCACTGCCCCTCAACCAGTCTGGAAAGATGAGCACCGGAAATCTCTCGGAATACAGCATGTCCTCTGAAAATCCAGAGGACCAGGCCGTATTGAATAATCCAAACGAAAAAGCGGAATCGAGCGACAGGGACTTGCCCCAGCCGCGACCCAGTAACGATAGCCCGCCCGCTCCACCCCATCGCAGCACCGGAAACTGCACCATAGTGCGGCGCAACACCGCTCGCTCTATTAGACCATGCCTCAAGTCCATGATGCCCGTCATCCAAGAGCAGTTTGAGCGAGTCGTGCACGGCCTCCGGGAGCAAACCGATATGCAGCTTTCGCTCATCGAGCATATGCTCAAGCAGCTCGACGCTTTCAAGGAGATCTTGACCCATATCAAGCAAAAGCGAGCCATGCAAGAAGACAGAAAGCGGAACGAAAATCGGAAGCTTTTCTACTCCGGAAACACCAACACACCGCTGGAAAAGTCTCGGGCTAACCTCTTGAAGAAGGACGCGCCGGGGAATCGTGAGTGAACCGCCGCGTTTGGAGGGAGAGCACCGAATGCAGCACCAAGGATTCGACCCCTGACTCGTCGGAGGTTTGCAAGGCGGAGCCAACTCGACCGAATAATTTGTTCACGCTTGCCATTTCCCCCCCCCCAAATAGAATCCAACCCCTCCATTTCGTCGAGTGTGCTCAAGCTGCCCAGCTCCAATGAAAGACTGGTTCACTCGGACTCGCTGGAGCGAAGCAGGACATCAAACCTTCATGCCACCTCAGTGGCCCAATTCTCCTCTCTCTTTGGCAGCGCCGACTCCATTGTTAACGAGGGCGGAATGGCTGTACCGCAAATCGGCATCACCCCCTCGGACGAGCCAGCAGCACCCGCCGCTGCTCCCAAAGGCATAACCAAGATCACGGGAAAGCTGCGCTCCGGATTGACCAAGCGGCTCATGGCCCGAATCTATGGAAGTCGCCCGCTCAAAACGCTCAGCCGTCATCTCGGGCTGGCAGAGGAGGAAGAGGAGGTGGATGTCGAGAAGGGAATGGGCAAGCGCAACGTCTCGCGCGTGTCGCTCGACACCCAGGATGGACTTTTGATTCCCGAACACAAGTGGGGCTTGCATCCGTCGTCCTTCTTCTTCACCACCTGGATCACGTTCATGTCAGGTAATGTGCCAGACGCCGACATTCGCGGGGGAGAGGAAGGCATTGTGGCTGTCGTTGCCACGAGTACGAGTGCCACTTCTCCGCGGATGTCCGTAGTGAAGCAATATCAACATGGCCGAGCAAATTCGCTGGTGCTTCCAACTGCGCTTTGGTGACATGGACGCAACTATGGGCTTCCCGCCCTGGCTGCTCTCCGTTTCCCAAAGCTCCTGGCTCAATACCGGCTGACGCACTCGGCTTGTTCCTCGTTGTTCCTCTGCCGACGTCGCTGTGATCTGGGCCTCAGGAATCTACTTGTGGATCATATTCGGAGTCACGACTGTGGCTTCCTTTGAGTACAGCCACTTTGTTTCGGAATTCACACCCGAAACACAGAGTGTCATCATCACCACGATCTACCTTGCCGACACCATCATCAACATATGCACTCTCAGGAAGAACTTTGCTGCCATGGCCGACTATCGTGTCAAAACCGAAGTTATCACCTTTGACTGGCAACAAAGTGTCGAGATGAATATGCGCGGACTGTTTTGGATGGACGCGGTCACGTCGATTCCCTGGATCTTTTTGTTCCGCGGCACCTTTGATCGACCATCGTCGCTGTTGATCTTTTATCTGCTGCGGCTCTACCGCCTTCCAGACTGCTTTGAGGCCCCGATCTGGGCCCACATGCTCAACAACATGATCGAGTTCACGGGTCTAGGTCAATCGGGACTATCCGTGTTCTCACTCGGATTTGGCATGATCCTATTTCTGCACTTTCACGCATGTATGGTGTTCTTGGCTGGCCAGTGGAGCAACTACGAGGATCCGATGTGGCAAGGCTTTATTGCTCAAACGACAAAGACTGCGCTTGATCAATATGCCTGGTCTCTGTGGGCCGCAATGGCCAACACATTCCCGGTGACGGCGATATGGACGTAAGTAGGATCGAGGCACTTTCCACGAGTTGCTTGTTGGATGCTGCTACGATGATGCCATACCGTTGGTGCTATCGAGATCACTTCCTCTGTTGGAAGGCTGAGTTGATTTCATGCAGTCTAACGATGCTTTCCGCAATTTGAACGACGTCAGGCCCCTCACAACGCCTGAACGCTGGTGCCAAGGCATCACCATATTTTTTGGGGCCCTCATCTACGGCACGGCACTAGCACTCATATCGTCATTCAGCGTCGATCTTGACAAGAGCGAGAAGCTGTACAAGGAGAAGATGGATGAGATCAGCGAGTACATGGCCTATAAGAAACTGCCCTTGGATCTGAGGAGTCGGGTGCGCGCGTACTTCCAGCTCAAGTATCGCGGGAGTGTGTTTCGCGAGGATGATATTCTCGGCGAGCTTAATCCGGATCTCCGGCGGGTAAGTGAATTTCACAAACAGCCATAGCTTTGGAGCTCGGCTCGGTGGTAATTGGGTGACCGTGGTCGCTTTGATCGCAGGGGTCTTGCACTTGAAGCGATTGCACTCGATCTGCTGCAATGCGTACGAGTGTGGATCCAATGGCCAAGCTGCCGGTCTGACTGAACTAAACCGCAATTTGGCAGCGTCTCACGGCATCGCGCAGTGCAAGCATGATCAAAAAAGTATCGTTCCTCAACAGATCGCAAGAGGATGGTCGCGATGAAGTCTTTGTCGGTGAAGTCTCGATGGCACTTCAGGAGGTGTTCTACATCAGCGGAGATGTTGTCTTTGAGGAAGGCAATCAGGGGTCATACATGTACTTTATTGTCCAGGGGACCGTCGATATCATTGTCAAGGGCAAGGTCGTTGGACAGCTCCAGAGCGGCGCCTTTTTCGGAGGTTGGTTTGCATGCCACAAGCGCCAGCTCTGGTGCTTTGTCATTTGTATGGAGCCAGCCTGGCGATGCTGCGATGGCTGATGCAAGGGCGAACCATTGAACCCCCCCCCAGAACTGGCCCTTCTGGGCAACATCCCAAGAACCGCAACGATCAAGGCAACCTCTGCTTGCTCCATGTATCGGCTGTACCGAGAGCACTTTATGAAAATCATCGACAATTTTTCGGACGTCAAGTACAGGATCCAAATGATCTTTGAGGAGCGAATGCAGAAGGTCGAGAGGGAAAAGTCAATCCAGTAGCAGCGATAACACGATGGAGATATGAAGGGGGATGTGGCTTGGTATTGATGCACCCGCTGCGAATTGCCCGCATTGGCGGCTCGCTTGACGCAAGTTTGTGCGGCTGCTTGTGTGATGCCGGGAATGCCATTCATTTGCGAAGCGGGAGAGCAAACGTGACAATACCCCTGGCTTTCGGGGAACAGTGATCTCCCCGCCCCTGGATGTCGAGTCCACGGGATGATGTGGCCAGGCGCGACGGTGCCATGGGACTGGCTGGCTGGCGGTGGCGTCGCTGCGCAGCGCGGGTGTGTTTGTGTGGCGGCGCACCAAAAAGACGCGCGACGCGCCGCAGTATTTCCAGCAAAGCGACGGCGCCTGGATCCAAAACCTTGTCCTGTTCCGCCGCCAGCGCGGGGTGGGCATGGGCCTGGGTATTGCGACGGTGCGAATGCGCTCTGCCGGCGACTGGGAGTGCTCTCGCGATCGACGACATGGTATGAGGGTTACTCGGACGGTTGCTCGAGGACGGTTGCTTGAGAGGGTCGCCCGTGCAGGCTGACCAAGCTGCGAATCTCTTGGACGGGTCGTTGGACGAGTCGTTCGATGTGCCTTTGGTGTTTGCTGTTTACTGCCTGCCCTGGATTTCCACGTCCTCTGCTGGCCGCTGTTTCCTGGATCTCTTCCTGTCCCGCAACCCACGACCCGCACGTCCTGCGTCTCTCCTGCCCGCCTTCGCATCGTGCATCTCGCATCTCTTGCCCACCACCGCATCCTGCGCTCAGGTCTCCAGGCAAGCGTCGCTGTCTCCCACAAAGGGCCGTCTCGATCTGTGTCTCTGGCACCGCCCGTTGCTTCTCGTGGGCCCCCGGTCGGACACGGCACTCACTTATTATCGACAACACCTTTCGATACTGACCCCACATCCACTCGTCCTGCCACCCTCCTGCAGCACAGCCTGCGCCAGCCAGTCCGCATCAGAAAAGAGGTAAGGCCTCGTCGCCTCCCCGCCACCTCCCGCTGCCTTCGTCGCCGCCGTGCCAGGGCAGTCGTACTCTTCGTCCGCCCACTCGGAAACTCCCTCTGGTCGCCAAAGCGGAGCCCCGGCCTCAAAACCCCAGCCTCGTCGTCGCTGAAGCTCAGACGATCGCGCTTGCTTCAACAGCCCCGGGCATCATTGCCTCCCGCTTCTCTCAGCCCGCATCGTGACGATCCTGGTCTGCTTCTGCTTCTGCACCGCTCATCCCTCGGCTCATCCCCAGGCTCAACCCCAGGTTCAAATCAACAGCACTTGCATCTGTACAGCCAAGAGTCCGACCTGATCCGATGCAGCCCAGCCACGAACCCCGCTCGGGCGAAGATCTGTCCCTCCTCCAAAACCCATCCACAGTCGAGGCCGTGACCGACTCGATCCAGGACGGCTATGTCAACCGCAAGCAGTCCTGCTTTCTGATCGGCTCGCATTTCCTGATCGTTGTCAACAACGGCCGGGTTGCGCCAGACGAACGGGATGTCCAGGCCAAGCGTGTCGCCGAGGTCTTCAAGTCACGAAAACTTGGTCTCTCGCTCGAGTCCTGCCCAGTCTCGATCTTTGATTTTGCCGCCCGAGCATGGGAGCGATCCACTGGCGGTCGAGACCAGGCCGTTGTCTTCATGTAGGTTCGATGCATCAATCGATGGCATTGGACAGAGACTTTGACCATCGCCATTGATCTCTTTCTCTTGCGTACCATGACATGGCTGTTGATATCCTTTTCCTACATCCCATGACATGGCTGTTGATCTCCTTCTCTTGCGTACCATGACATGGCTGCTGATCCGCTTCTCCTACATCCCATAACATGGCTGTTGATCGATTTCCGTCCAACAACAATCCGGTGCTTTCGGCCCTGCTCTCGTCGGATGCCCGATTGCTTCCCACTGCCTCCAGCGGCGGATACGGCCAGAGCCCGACTGAAGTCCGACGCCTCTTCACTCAGCAGCTCGTTGCTCTCTCGCAGTCTGTGGGCAAAATCAAATCTACCGTCCACTCCGGAGCCATCAAGATGGAGACCGTCCTCGAGTCCTTTGGTCACGCCCAACTCAACGATCGCCCAAACACCTCCCGATACGGCCGATACACCGAGTATCAGTTGGATGACAAGCACCGCATGGTGGGCATTAAGCTGCTCGACTTTTTGCTCGAGAAATCCCACCTCACCCGGCCTCTTGGCTCTGGCGAACGGAACTTCAATGTCTTTTACCAGATCCTCGCCGGCGTCGACTCGACCGAGCAGAGACGCCTTCATCTGTCCTCCACAGACAGTAGCGAGTTTGTGCTGCTCGAACCCGATGCCAGTCATGCTCAAGCCAAGCGCACCATTTCCCGTGTCCTGAGCTCCCGCAAAAACACTGTGGGCAAGGGCCAGAGTGCCGCCACCAAGGCTTTGGACGAGGCTCAGTACCACGAACTATGCAGCCACCTCAAGTCCTTGGGCATTGGCAGTCGTGCCCAGGCACAGATCCGCCAAGTCGTGGTGGCCATCCTGCACCTCGGAAACGTCGACTTTGTCGACGATCCAGAGCACCACAACGAGGCCTGCGCCATCAAGTCGATGGAGCCCGTCGAGCGCGCCGCCGACCTCCTCGGCGTCTCGGCCAAGAAGCTTGCTCTGGTTCTCTCTTCTGAAACCAGAGTCCTGGCCTCTGAATCGGTATCGGTTCTCTTGATTGCCGACGGTGCTAAGCGCCGCACCCAGACGCTTGCCAAAGCCCTCTACTCGCTGCTCTTTGCCTGGCTCATCGACCATCTCAACAAGCGACTGTGTCGGGAGTCGTCCGAGTTCGCCAAAGTGATTTCGACCCTGGACTTTCCCGTTGCCGTTTCCTCGGCTTCTGCGGCCTCCTCGGCCGGCCTGGAGTCGCTGCTGTGGTCGTATGCAAACGAGCGTTGGCGCTCGCTGGCTCTTCAGTACATGTTCGAAGAGTGGTCCACTCTGCGCTCACAGGATGGTCTGAGCATACCGAGCCGCTTTGAAGATCACGGCAGAACCGGATACATCTTGACCCGCTCCATCCTTGACCAGATCAGTGAGCGCCCCGCCGACGCCGGCAGCGACTATCCGCATCTGGAAACCGCCATCAGCTCTCAGCTCCAGGCGTACCCGGCCTTTGGCAAGTCAAGTTCCAGCCACACTTTCTCCATCCGCCACTTCTTTGCCACTGTCGACTACGACTCGTGCGACTTCGTCTCTCGAAACACCGAGACACTCTCCACCGACTTCATCTCGCTCTTCCGCGGCGATGTCGCGCCAGACGAGGAGCTTGACCTCGAAGCCAAGCCTACCTCTGGCTCCGAGGTCCCCTTTGTGTCGTTCCTCTTCAGTAGCAAGATCGGAATCGTGTCCCGTCGCCATCCCAAGAACAAGCGGATGGTCCTCGCCAGCCAGCCCCAGCGCCCGCTGAGACGGCCCACACTGTCACGCAAGCGTGCCTTGGAGCAAGCCCGAAGCGAAGGCGATACCACGCTCATCCCCCTCATCATGGAAGCCTTTGACGACATCGAGGCGTCGCTGTCGAGCTCCGAGGTCTCGGCCATCCTGACCCTCAATTCCAACCAAAAATACAACAACCCGACCTTCGATCGTGAATACGTCTACGAGCAAGTTCAGCGATTCGGGCTGCATGACCTTGCTGTGGCCAAAGCCGCCGCCAACTATCGTACCACCATGTCCAAGCGCGAGTTTCTCACAAAGTTCCAGCCGATTCTCCCTGCCCACGTTGGCGTCGAAGGCGACTCCCTCATCCGCTTCTTCCGCGACTCTGGGGTCACCGAGAGGGATGCTGCCGTCGGTGATACGCAAGTCTTTCTGAGCGAAAGCCAGAGCAATCAGCTGAGATTCCAGCTGCAGCAGGCCACCCAGCCCGCTCCCATCCCTGCCGAGCCTGCTGGGGGCTCCGGTGGTGCCAGCCCAAGATCAAGCATCAACTTGACTGGCAATGTTGCGGGCGCTCTCTCTGGCGGCTTTGGCGGCAACATCAACCGCATGTCGTTTGCGTCCTATGCCGATTCGGATGCCGAATCCAACTTTGCATCCGAGTTTGAGTTTTCTTCGCACCAGCCCGTTCCCTCTGGCCCTGTGCACGGTATGAGCGAAATCGTTGGCTACTCGCCTGCCACCGGCGCTGTCCTGGCCACAACAAAGTCGCCCACCGGGGCCGCCTCTCCCAAAATCGAAAGAAAGATCACTGAGAAGAAGGAGATCGTTGCCGAGACGGCCGAGATTACCAAGGGACGCCGGGCCTGGGTGCGATGCACATGGTGCTTGACCTGGTGGATTCCAACCCCACTCATCCGGTGCTGCAGCAAGATGCAACGCCCGGACATCATCATGGCCTGGCGAGAAAAGGTGGCCCTCTGCATTCTCATTTTCTTTGTCTGTGCTGTCCTCGGATTCTACATCTTTGGCCTCCAGTACGTCCTGTGTCCCACTCAGAACATCCTCAGCCATGATGAGGTTCAGGGCCGAACCACCTCTGGAAGCAAGATCGTCAGCTCGCACGGCCGCTTTTACGACATTAGCTCTTTGGCCAACTGGCACGTCCAATCCTTCACCGGAGCAGGGGGCATTCAACCGTACCAGTTTGTTCCGCTCTACGGCACCGATGTCAGCAATCTCTTTTACAAGACCGATTCGTGGGATTACTACTGCCCTGGCATTCAAAAGCCCAGCGATCCCAACTGGGACTATCTCAACCCCAACGTGGACTGGATGCGCCGCCCGGGCGACTCTGCGTCGCAGAAGATGGTACACCGTCTTGCTCGAAACGGCGCGTACCAACTGTATCTCGAGAATCTGAACCAATACGCCAAGGGTCGTGTTGGATGGACGCCCGCGTATCTAACGCAGTTTTCCTCTCAGAGCCGAGTAAGTGCAAAACGTAAACGCAGTAGATGTGGCGGCACGACGAAGCAAAGAGGGATCTCGCCAGCCACGTTGCTGACGAAGGCTTGGAGGCCTGGCAGTGATTCATAACAGAGCGACGCGCGGACCTGCTTCTCCGTAAGAGCATCGTTTCCAAAGCCGCTTTACTAACCTTGGCCCTTACATCGTGATGCAGATGCTTTTATCCATCTACGACAATGTGTACGACGTTACCGCATACTCGTCCATCGCAACCGACATATTCCCCAAGGAAGTGCGCTCTCTCTTCACCAACAGCCGCGGCAACGACATGTCAAGCCAGTGGACGGCCCTGCGCCAAAGCAACCCCGCGCTCTATGACAATGCCCTCAACTGTATGAACAGCATGTTCTACATCGGCACCATCGACCATCGCGGCGACACGCGCTGCGTTGTCGCCTCGTACGTTCTGCTTTCGGCCTCCATCATCCTCGTTCTCATCATTGGCGTCAAGTTCCTTGCAGCACTGCAGTTTGGCTCGCGCAAGGACCCCGAGAACAATGACAAGTTTGTGGTGATCCAGGTGCCGTGCTACACCGAGGGTGTCGCCGAGCTGTCCAAGACGATCGAGAGTGTGGCAACCCTCAGATACGACGATCGTCGCAAGCTGATCTTCATCATCTGCGACGGCATGATCGTTGGAAGTGGAAACGAGCAGGCCACGCCGCGCATCGTCCTGGATATTCTCGGCGTTGGCCCCGAACAAGATCCCGAGCCTCTGTCCTTCCAGTCCCTCGGCGAAGGCAACAAGCAACACAACATGGGCAAGGTCTACTGTGGCCTCTATGAAAACGCGGGTCACAGGGTTCCCTTTATTGTCGTCGTCAAGGTCGGCAAGCCCTCCGAGCTAACCAAACCAGGCAACCGCGGCAAGCGCGACTCGCAGTTGGTGCTCATGCGCTTCTTCAATCGGGTCCACTACAAGACGCCCATGTCGCCCCTGGAGCTCGAGCTCTTCCGGTGCATGAAGAATGTCATTGGCGTGAGTCCATCTTTCTATGAATACGTCCTGATGGTCGACGCCGATACCGAGATCATGCCCGACAGTTTGAATCGCATGATCTCGTTCATGGTCCACGATGCCAAGGTATGTATTTGGCTGGATCAGCACGTACGGCCGGAGGGTTGGATGTGGCCGAGATTTTGATCGAGCAAGACGGCAGGGGTAGGAAGGGTGCCACAGACGGCGATAGTATATTGCGGCCTGTCGCTCTGACACACTGACGCATGCGTCTTTGGCTGGTGCCCCTTGTCTTCTCCCCTCCAGGTTGTTGGTCTCTGTGGTGAAACCCTCCTGTCGAACGAAAAGGATTCGTGGGTGACCATGATCCAGGTCTACGAGTATTTCATCTCGCACCATCTCGCCAAAGCCTTCGAATCGCTCTTTGGCAGCGTCACCTGCCTTCCTGGCTGCTTCTGTCTGTATCGACTCCGCAGCTCGACGCACAACAAGCCTCTCCTGGTCAACAATGCTGTTCTGAACGACTACTCTGAGAATACCGTCGACACCCTACACAAGAAGAATCTTCTCCACCTCGGCGAGGATCGGTATCTGACCACGCTCCTTCTGAAGCACTTCCCGGACATGAAGACGTGCTTCACCGTTGACGCCAAGTGCATGACCACGGCTCCGACCAAGTGGAACGTGCTGCTCTCCCAACGCCGCCGCTGGATCAACTCGACCGTCCACAATCTGCTCGAACTGGTGCTGCTCCGGGATCTGTGCGGCTTTTGCTGCTTCTCGATGCGCTTTGTCGTTCTCCTCGATTTGGTCTCGACCTTCACCCAGCCGATCGGCGTCATTTACGTCATCTACCTCATTGTGGTGTGCTCCATGGGAGCCGTGAATCTGACGCTTGCATCGCTGATCCTGATTGCGGCCATCTACGGCTTCCAAATGATCATTTTGCTTCTGAAACAGCAGTGGCAGCATATCGGCTGGATGATCATCGTAAGTTCATCGCGGATGTAGCATCCGTTGTTGAGGAGGCGTGTGTTCGTCTAGATAGAGGGAATTGTGCAGGGGGAGGGGGAGGGCAAACTGAGGAGCCGTGACATTCGTCTGTATCATTTCTGGAGGCATATTGATATTATGGGAGCACTCGTTGCTGTCCTGAGGAACAGCGCCTTTTTTGGCGGCATAAACTAACCACGGTGTTCTATTTTCTGCTTCGATTCGCACGCGTCGGTGGCAAATCAACAATGAATGGAATGGTGCTTGGTGGTGCGCTAGTATTTGCTTGCGCTGCCTGTGTTTTCGCTTTATCTGCCTCTCTACAGCTTCTGGCATTTCGATGATTTTTCGTGGGGTAACACCCGTGTGGTCGTCGGAGAAGGCAAAAAGACGGTCTACGTGGCTGATGAAGAGCCGGTACGTATCTTGTCATGAATCGATGTGCAGTCTGTTCGTGAACGGGAGAAGCATATCATTTGGGAGAGGGGGGAGTCGTCCTTATGCCTATGCGCTTGCATCCGATTGCTCTGCTGGAGTAGCAAGCAGAGCTTGGTGGCTTGGAGTTGACACGATGGAACAAAGCGTTGCCCACTGACTTGCTCGCCATCTTGCCGTTCTGAAATCGCTGCCAGTTCAACCCCAAGTCCATTCCGCTCCAGACATGGGCCGACTACGAGCAAAACACTCTCGATACCGAGGGCCAGTCCCAGAAACGCCTGTCATTCCATTCCATTCAGTCATTTGCAACCACGACACCCTCGCTGCACAACTATCCATCCACCCAACAGCTTCTGGCTGGGTACGGTACGCCCACTCAGGTCACCGCCTCCTCCGTCCGCAGCTCCTTCGACGAAAACAGGATTGCACACGAAGTCACCAACATCCTGCAAACGGCCGATCTCATGAAGATCACCAAGAAGGAGGTTCGCGCCGAGGTCGCGCGACGGCTTGGGCTGAATCTGGAAGGACGCCGCGAGAGAGATGCTGTCAACAAAATCATCACGGAGAAGCTTCAGCATATGTGATGCTGCTCATTGCGACCGGCGAAGGGCGGTCCAAACACCGCTGTCCGGGCGAGATGACCCCAGAACATTCATTCGTGGCTCAAAACAAAAAACCATACACAATCGGCACATTCAATTCAACACCATCAAGCCGCGCCGAGTGTCTATTGAGTTTGTTCGTTAATACACCATGGAGTTGTCCAGAGGGTCGAGTACATTCATCACACAAAGAGATTGCCAACCAGGACGGGAACAATCGCACGGCTTGCTCACCGCAACCCGCAGTAGGTCAGTAGACTTCTGGCCTCTGATGCCAGAAAGTGGCTGTCCTGTTTCTTTCTGAATGGACTGTATATTGATCGATAAGTGCGTCAACCAAAACAATGAGTACAAGGGTTCGTCCCGAATGAGCTTGCTTAAACCGGAGGGCTTTGGCTCGGCGGCTATATAAGCGGAACGTCAGCATTGCGCAGCGCCAGATAACTCTGGGTGAGCTGCGGTGTCAGCGTTTGGATGTATTGATACACGTCGGCATTGTGATAACGAAGACCGGTTCGGGGATCGGTATAGCGGGCCTGCATGGGCGCAGTACCAAGTGGTGGGGGGGGGCGACGGTGATGATCGAGAGTGAGTCGACGCCAGAATGGAACAGGACCGTTTGCAGGCTGAGGCTAGAGATCTGGCACGAAATCATACCTCCAGACCAGTAATGTCGCAGTATTTTTTCTTGGGTCGAACGGATGGAGCGGCTTCTATGCTCCAGTCTGCGATAGCGAGCAGCGATGCAGATATCAGCTCCAGAGCGATCGGCCGGTGATGAACTATGATGGCATATGCGCGCTCGAGACGCACTCACATGTGGGTATATCGAGACGGTCGCTGCGCTCGAGAGCCATGATCTGTTTGAGATTCTTATGTTTCTTGTTCGTGCTGGGAGTGTGATGTTTGTGATGATGATGGTGGTGGTGGCCATGGTGAAGCCGATGTGACTTGAAGGGCTTGGGGGCCAGGGCAACATCGATGACATTGTCGGAGTTCTCGTCATTGTGATCATGCCGAGACAGACCAGGAAGAGAAATGATGGGGCTGTGGGACGGAGACGTCAGGGATGGCGATGGGGCGGCCATGAGGATGAACAGGAAGGCGCAGCGATCGAAGGATCCTGGCGATGCAGCGAGATCTCCGAGGCACGGAGCTAGACCGAAGGATACACCGAGGGATTTGCGGTTGGATGGCCCCGGAAACGTTGACTGTTGGAGCGAGTGGTAGATGGGAGTTGGCCCTTGGAGTTGGTCAACAGCCCTGGAGCGAACAGCCCAAAGGGCGCCGGGGGAAACCGGGGTGCCGAGCCGGGTTGATCCTCACATGCTGCGCGGCACGTGACTGAATGGAATGCGCACGCGTGGCGCCAGGCAGCTTATCGCCCAGATCAGAGCAGCAATCCTTCTTCGTCTTCATCTTGACCCGAGATAGCAGCAGGCCGCCCGACCCGCCGCACACCTGCCCATCCGACTCGCAACTGACAACCGACATGACCACACCTGCTGAAAAGGCCTGCCTGATCGTCATCGACGGCTGGGGCGTCTCCGAGAACGCCGATGCCACGGGCGATGCCATCCGCAACGCCAGCACGCCCGTGATGACCGACCTGGCTGCCCGCTACCCATCCACCACCCTGGCTGCCCACGGCCTCGCCGTCGGCCTGCCCGACGGCCTCATGGGCAACTCCGAGGTCGGCCACCTTAACGTCGGCGCCGGCCGCATCGTCTACCAGGACATTGTCCGCATCGACCTGTCGATCCAGACAAAGACCCTCGGCGATCAGCCGGCCCTCGTCGCCGCCTTTGATCGGGCCAAGAAGGGAAACGGCCGTCTCCACCTGCTCGGGCTGGTCTCGGACGGCGGCGTGCACTCGCACATTGTCCACCTGTTCAACATCCTCGATGCCGCCAAGAAGCACAAGGTGCCGTCGACCTATATCCACTTCTTTGGCGACGGCCGCGACACGGCGCCCCGGTCCTCGGCCACGTATATGGAGCAGCTCCTGGCCCACACCAAGTCGATTGGCTATGGCTCGGTGGCCACGGCGACGGGCCGCTACTATGCCATGGACCGCGACAAGCGCTGGGAGCGCATCAAGATTGCCTTTGACGGCCTGGTCCAGGGCAAGGGCGAGGAGACCAGCGACATTGTCGCCACCATCCACGAGCGCTACGCCAAGGACGAGACGGACGAGTTCCTCAAGCCCATCATTGCCAACAAGGACGGCCTCGTCGGCGACAACGACACGCTGGTGTTCTTCAACTACCGCTCGGACCGCATGCGCGAGATCACGCAGGCCTTTGGCATTGCGCCGATCCCGTTCGAGACCGAGAAGGCGCCCTTGAACATTGTAAGTAGGGCTGCAGTTGTGTGCGGTGTGCGGTGTGTGCGGTGTGTGCGGTGTGTGCGGTGTGTGCGGTGTGCGGTGTGCGGTGGTGATGTCTAGGTAGATCCAAATGCGGAAGTCGATGCAAATGTGGATGTGGATGTGGATGCATCGGTGATTGCGATGGAGCGGCATGGTCGCTGGTGTGTGGCATGCTGGCCGAGTGTGCCAGTGATCATTGTCGTCATCGTTGCAACCATCATCATCACCACGGCCGCCATCACCACGGCCGCCGCTAACCCTCCCGATCTCTTCTTGCCGATCCCGCCGCCAGTCCATCACCACCATGACCCAGTACAAGGGTGACTATCCCTTCCCTGTCATCTTTGCTCCCCAGACCATGGACAACGTCCTCGCCGAGTGGATCAGCAAGAAGGGAATCCGCCAGAACCACATTGCAGAGACCGAAAAGTACGCCCACGTCACCTTCTTCTTCAACGGCGGCTCCGAGAAGCAGAACGTCCACGAGGACCGCGAGCTGATTGCCTCGCCCAAGGTCGCGACATACGATCTGCAGCCCGAAATGAGCGCCAGCGGGGTCGCCGAGAAGGTTGGTACTCTGCTGCTGCTGATGGAGAGTGGCTGCGGGTGCTCTACTGGTGCTCTGCTGGTGCTCTGCTGGTGCTCTGCTGGTGCTCTGCTGGGTTTGATGAACTTCGGAGCAGCTGCACTCTCGCTGGCCACCAGCATGCTGCATCCTGAATGGCAATTGCATCCCACTCACTCGCTCACTCACTCACTCACTCACTCACTCACTCACTCACTCACTCACTCACTCACTCACTCACTCACTCACTCACGCACTCACTAACTTGTCGCTGCGCTTGCTCAGGTCGCCGAAGTCATCGCCACCAACAACTATCCGTTTGTGATGTGCAACTTTGCTCCTCCGGACATGGTGCGTCAGTCTCGACCAAGGAGGCAGGGATGCGGCTGGGCTTGCGAGAGTGTGCTTCGCAATCTTGTCGCCGACCCCGTCGAATCGTCGGTCCGCTGGTCGCAACATCCTTCTCACGCATTCGCCATTCACACCCACTCACTCGCCCGCTCACCCACTCGTTTGCAATCTGCCTTGCTCACCTGCCGATCAGGTCGGCCACACCGGCAAGTACGAGCCAGCCATCAAGGGTGTCGAGGCCACCGACAAGGGAATCGGCGTCATCTACGAGGCCTGCAAGAAGCACGGCTACGTCCTGTTCATCACTGCCGACCACGGCAATGCCGAGAAGATGCTTGCCGAGAACGGTCAGCCCCACACGGCCCACACTTGCAACCCGGGTAAGGCTGAGGCTGGGGAGATGCAGATGGCACCCATGTCGCCGGTCGTTGGGACCAGAGACAGGGCCGACGAAGGGCTTGGCGATAGCAAGACTATGGCGGCGAGGCGTGGTGGTCGGCCAGATGGCAGACTTGGTGGCTCGGTCTGATGGCGGGTCTAATGACCGAGTTGGGTCCTTTGGATCGTGGTGCTTGACACAAAATCGACTCATCCGCCTGTTGGACACTGCCGCGTTGGACACTGCCGCCCGGTGCTGTGCACAATCATTGACATCCACATCGCATCCACATCGCATCCACATCGCATCCGCATCGCATCCACATCCGCCACGCAGTTCCCTTCATCATGACCTCCACTCGACACAACTTTGCTCTGCGAAGCGATGCGGCTCTGTGCGATGTTGCCCCCACCATCCTCGAGGTCATGGGTCTTGACATCCCCGCCGAGATGAGTGGCAAGTCTCTCTTGGCCAAGTGAGCTCTGGAGGCGATCGTCGAAATCCCTCCAAAACACCCTTGACCACCTGGTATCACCCCATCAACTGAGGCCCATGGTCTCCCTGAATGTACTTGGTCAAATATAATGCTCACAAGAGAATGGGCGATTTAAATACAAATATAAGCAACCTCGAGCATTGCACAATCGGGCCATCAATTGACCCATAAGGGATAGTGTGCTGAGTTCCATCAGATATGACCCACGGCATATCTGGCATGGAACAAACGTCTCTGGGGCGCCCTGACCCAAGTTTGGTTGGAAACATCGCAATCTTATATTCGATTCGGAGTATTGTCCAACCCAGCGGTTGCTGTATTAACCTGGCCCCACCTGAGAAAGAGGAATGTAAGAGGACTACTCCTGCAATATATATCCCGTTATGCTCATGGAATCCCTCGACAACTTGATATAATATGGGGAATGGGAATCAGGGTGTTCCGAGAGCATTGATACTAATACTGAGACCCGGATACCACTTTGGATGAAAAGGACGATACAGTTGTTGTATGAGATGGCTTATACATGTGCTCGATCGTGCTGCATTTCGATCGCATTGAGCTGTGCTCTAAGCGGCGTGAACTCCGAAGCATTCGGAACACTTTGAGTTGTGTTCGAACCGAATATATGGCGTTTCTCCAATTTTCCCGAGGATCACTTAGGGCGTTGGCATCGTACAATTGTGGTAAGGACGAAGGACCGGTCGTCAAGAGGGAATCGATCGCCTGTTCTTCCGCCACAGCATCTTCGGCCCAATCCTTCTCTCTGCGACTTGGACACCAACAAGAGCACCCTTTGAAAATAGTGCTTGGAATCAATCGGATGGCCAGTCCCAACGGAAGCGAGAAGACCCCGATGAGCAGGCAGGTGAGCCACTGAAAGCCATTGAGGGGAGTCGTGTGGAATGCGACATTCCCAAACTCGACAATGATTGCTTGCAGAATCGACACAACCACAATCACGATCGTGAAGTACATGTTTTTGAAACACGTGCGGAGCACATTGAGCTTGCCGTCGACCGAGTGGCAGCTGACAGAGCAGGAGAAGCAAGTCAGCGGGTGGGCGAGGCCTGAAGCGCAGACGCCGGATGAGAACACCGATGGCCCAGCGCAACAGACGCCGGATGAGAACACCGATGACCCAGCGCAACGGACAGACACCTACTTGATCATGTTGAAGACCTGGAGCCACACAAAGGCGTTGAAGAGCATGGTCGTCAAGACGTCCTTCTCATACAACACAACCGGGTCGGTGGTGTGGACCATGATTCCGCCGGCAGCAGAGAGGTGCTGCAGCGCAAACAGGTCCGGGCCCTTGAGGAGAATGACGAGATTGACAACGACCTGGAAGGCAGACTGGCCCAGGATCATCTTCCACATCTCGATGGTGATGAGCGGGTGGCTCTTGGACTCGGGAGGCCGGTCCAGAAGCTCGCGCGTCGGCAGATCGGTGGCATAGACAAGAGCCGCGAGCGAGTCCATGATCAAGTTGACCTGGAGGCACCGATGGCCGGCAGGCGGAGCCAGTGTCAGAGGGGTCAGGCAAGTCGAACAGGAATGCAGGCCAGGCAAGTTGAGCAGGATTGCAGGTCAGGCAAGTCGAGGAGGCATGCATCCACACAACATCACCACTCCCACATCACCACTCCCACACATCACCGCTCCCACACATCACCACTCACACACCACCCCACCACACCACCCGCCTCGCTCCGTCGCTGTCAACTCACCCAGAGGAGTTGCACGGCGCTCAGGGCCGAGCCTTGGTCTGCGTCCAGCAGCGCACTCACAAACGCAACAACAACGGCCGTCACATTGACCGTCAGCTGGAACTGCAGAAACTTCTTGACGCCGTCGTTGACGCACCGTCCCCACATCATGGCCTTGACAATCGATGCAAAGTTGTCGTCCATCAGGATGATCGACGACGCCTCCTTGGCCACCTCTGTGCCGGCGATCCCCATCGAGAACCCAATGTCGGCCATCTTGAGGGCCGGTCCGTCGTTGGTGCCGTCGCCGGTGACTGCCACGGTTTCCTTGAGATGCTTGAGCCGTGAGACCAGGATCTGCTTGTCGGTGGGACTCGATCGGGCCAAGACCTGCAGTCGGGGAATCACCAGGTCCATCTCGGCCGGAGCCAGGCTGCGGAACCGAGGACCCTCCATCACAATGCCTCCCGGCTGGTAGATGCCGCACTGCTTGGCAATCGACACTGCCGTGACAATGTTGTCGCCCGTGACCATTCGCACAACGACTCCGGCCCGTCGGCAGTCCTCGACGGCCTCCTTGACGCCTGGTCGCAGCGGATCCTCGATTCCGACAATCGCCAGGCAGGTGAGTCCCTGGCCTCCAAGGTCGTCCAGAGCCGCCCCATGTCCGAGCACATCGCTGTCGGCCAGCCTGGCTTCGACTGCGGCAACACTGCTGTCGACGTCGTCCTCGACGACATCCATCTGGACGTTCAGTCCGTCGTTGCTGTCTCGGGCCGACTGAATCGTGTCCTTGAGCACGGCCTTGGCAACAGCGGTCCGCACCGGTCCCTGGATCCAGGCATTGAACTCGGCCTCGGTGAGATCGCGATATGCAATGCAGAGCGTTCGCAGCGACTCTTTGGCAAACGACTGGATGATCCGGCCCATGTTTCGGCGCTCAGGCGGACTGGCTCCGCTGAACTCGACTTGGCTGCCGTGAGCCACAAGGATGTTCTGGCAGTATCCAAGCACCACCTCCGAGGCTCCCTTGACATGCAGTCGATAGATGGCGGCACCCTGGCTGTTCCTCAGCTTGACCAGCGTGGCCATGGACTTGCGCTCGGACGAAAACGGATAGATCTGGACGGTCTCCATGTGCGGCTGCGTCCGCAGGTCGGCCGGGTTGCCCCCCATCTTCTGGATCCAGTTGACGAGGGCAGTCTCGGTCTTGGACCCAATGTACTCCTTCTTGCCAGACTCGGGGTTGACCCGCTCAAAGACAGAAGAGTTGACGGCCACAGCCTCGAGCACCAGGTCGTGCAGGGTCTGATGCATGTGGTTCTTCTCGGCCGGAAGCAGGCACGACCGCAGCACCGCCAGCGAGGCATCGGCGGTTCCTTGACGATCGTCAAAGTCGATGGACTGGGCAATGGCACCCTTGACGACGGTCATGACGTTCTGCGTCAGCGTCCCAGTCTTGTCGGAGCAGATGGTGGTGGCGCCGCCCATGGTCTCGCAGGCGCTGATGACTCGAACGAGGTTCTGGTCCTTGAGCATGCGGGTGGTGGCATATGCGAGTGCAAGCGTCACAGCCAGCGGCAAGCCTTCGGGAACAGCAACCACAATGATGGTCACGGCGGCAATGAAGATGTTTGTCAGTCTCGACAAGACCTCGGCCGCACTCTCTTGCTCGGGATCCGATCCGAACCCAACGGTGACCCCGACGGTGATCAGGTACTTTGCAAGAATCGCCAGGAACATCAGGATGGCGACGGCGGTGCCGAGCTTGGCAATGAGCTCGGTCAGCTTGTCGAGCTTGACTTGGAGGGGAGTCTCTTCGTTCTCGGTGCGCATAGCCATCATGGTCTTGCCATGGAACGAGTGTTCGCCGACAGCCGTGATGACGCATCGGCCTGTTCCCTCGACAATCTTGCTTCCGCTGAGCAGGAACGGGTCTGTTGTGGGCGACTTTTTGATCGAGTCGGTCTCGCCGGTGGCCGACGACTCATCGGCCTTGAGGCTGCTTGCACTGAGAACCAGACCGTCGGCAGGGAGGATGTCGCCCGACTCGAGGAGCAGAATGTCACCGACGACGACACTGGGAACAGGATGTGCATACCGTCAGTCCGCAGGACTGTCCAACAACCACACCCAAGCAGAACTATCCGGCAACCGCCGGTCTTGGTGAGCGGCACTGAGATGTGCCCTCCGAGATGTGCCCTCCGAGATGTGCCCGCATCAGAGTCGTCGGCACACCATGCAGCTTGTGGCTGTTCGTACCAGAATATCGACACCAGGGTGGGCTGGCTGTTCCGAAGCACCTTGACAGACCGGTCTTCCTTCTGGGCATTGAGCTTGCGGAACTGCTTCTCCTTCTGGTAGTCGTTGATGCTGCCAGCCAGCACAACGATGACGATGGCGACGATGATGGCGAAGCCCTCGATCCAGTGGGTCTTTGGGTCGTTGTAGTCGGCATCGGCGGGTGATTTCGGGCGAAAGTCCTGATACAGACCAATGGCAAGCGACACCACCGCAGCGACACAGAGAAGAACCTGTGCGCATGATCAAACGAGACACCGGCCGTCAGTCAGAGGCCAGCCAGTTGATCAGCCAGAGGCCAGCCAGAGGCCAGCCAGAGGCCAGCCAGAGGCCAGCCAGAGGATCAGCCAGGATGCCAGCCAGAGGATCAACCAGCACGTCCGATTCAGTCGAGTTGATTCTCAGGACCAACGCGGGCAGAGCAGAACAGCACCGAATGGATGGCAGGCGAGTGCAATGAGGGTATCTCAACGGCTCGTCTTGCGTATTGGCAGAGGATATCGGGACAGTTGGGCGATCATACCAGGATCTTATCTTGGAGCGCCTCGAGCATGAGACTCCAGAGGCTTCTCTGTGCCATCTGTGGAAGCACGTTGCGACCAAATGCTATCTCCCTGAGCCTCAATTCCAAACATTCTCCTGAGCTCGTCATCGATCCTGTTTCACCTTGGTAGAGTTGTTTGCAAGAATCGCCATCACTCTCATCATATGAGATATCTATTGTCGCGTTGGCTCCAATGGTCTGAAGACCCGTTTCCTCATTCACCTTCAAACCGCTCATGATCGCGTCGAGACCACCAAGATCGTTGAGGTACTCCACGGTGCGATGTTCGTTCATCAGTTCAGATAGTTGTGTCCTTGTTAACCCGAAGTCATTCTGTCGATTTTTGGGCACACGGGATATTGGATCGAAATGGTGCCGTATCTTTCCTTGCTTCATGTTGATATACACCTATCCACTTGATGAAAAAATGCCGAGATTCTCGACTCCCTTCCCTCCGCATCATCTTGTCGCCCAATCACAGGCTATGATTCGTGTTCTTTGTTAAGGAAACACAGGGAACGGCGATCACATCATGGATGGTCCTTCGCCTTTGGTCGGAAGCAATGAATGAAACATTGTCCGAGGATACATCAGGGGAAATAACCAACATTTGATTGATCATTCGATATATATCCATACCAATGACAATATCATTACTCCCGGACCCGAGCAAGTGACCATCACAAAGGTATCAACGTCAATGTAGTCATGATATGTCGTGGAGGACAATTGCATCAATGTCATCACCACCAGAGCCAGTTTCAGAGGATTCGGATCGGTGCCGAGTCCACCATGCGCCTGCAGGCCCCAGCAGCATCCTCCAGTCTCGAATCGAGTCTTGTGTGAGTCCAAGAGCTGGATGCGCCGGCTCAATCGCCACTGAGCCTAGTTCTGAATCTGCAGCATGCCGAGCTGCATCAGCTTCTGCAACTTTGCTGCCAGATCGGAATCGGCGCTTCTGGTCACCCTGCAGAATCATCCGGCTCAGTCAACGCTTGTCGGCCCAGAGGTGCTCGCCCAGCGATCATGGCCCAGCGATCATGGCCCAGCGATCATGGCCCAGCGATCATGGCCCAGCGATGCTCGCTCGGCGGTCGGCTGGCACCACTCCAGCTGGCACCACTCCAGCTGGCACCACTCCAGTTGGCACCACTCCAGTCGCCCGGACATGACTTACTCTGCCAGGAGCAGAGGATTGCTCCGACCTGCAGCAATGATTCTCTGGATTCTGGGATCTCGCAATGCCGCCTGAGCCTCGGGATCTCGCTGCACCCGCTCGACCAGCTCCTGTTCGTGAGGCGGAAGTTGCTGCTGGAGCTCGACGGCCGGCTTTGTGGTCCTGCTGCGAGTGCTCTGTGGCTCCACTACTTCCAGATGGGATCCCATCTGGCCGGCAATCTCCCGGAAAGCCATCAGCAAGTCTGGTCTGGTTGAAGCGTATTTGCGGATGCAAGTCTGTGGATCGCGCTGCATCTCCTCGAGGACCACTGCAAAGAGCGGATCGTCCATGGCCCGACGCAGACCAGGCTTTGCCTCGATGGTCTCGATAAAGTCGGGTGTGATCCACTCTGGACATGGAGCAGCTGCGGTTAGAGCTGCGGACTGGGCAGATGCGGTGGTGGCAGATGCGGCGCTGATGGATGTGGTGTCGATGGATGCAATGCCGATGGATGCGGTGCTGGTGGATGTGGTGCTGGTGGATGTGGTGCTGGTGGATGTGGTGCTGGTGGATGTGGTGCTGGTGGATGCAGCCAGGATCGAGCGTCTCTTGCGTCCCAGTTCCCACACTTTCGCAGCGACCATACCCTGCTTGTTGGCGAGAGCTTGTCCCATCGCCTGCTGCACCTCGCTGAAGCGAAGGCTCGACTCGTCGGTCGTCTTTGGACGGATGAAGGGCATTGGTTCTGCGGCACTGGTCTGGTCGGATTGCTTGGACTCGTTGGGCTGGTTGGGCTGCTTGGGCTGCTTGGGCTGGTTGAACGGCTTGGGAACAGAAGCAGCCGCTCGACTGGAGAAACCCTTCTTGAGTCCTCCAAAGTCGGTCGAGGCTGGTGTGTCCGGGGCCGTTTCCGTCGGCTGGCATGGCAGTCAGGATGGATGGGCGAGGGACAGAGGAGCCACATCAGCACGGCCGAGGGACAGAGGAGCCACATCAGCACGGCCAATGCACATCCCTTCGCGAGAAGGACATCGGACAAGACATCCCAACAAGCGCGATGCCGAATGCACACCTTGGTCGCAGCTGCTTCTTGTGCCTTGAGGCCGGCCTTGGGAGCCCGGTCGGTGCCGGGTGTCAGCACTGTCGAGTGGGAGTCGCAGGTCAGGGCTCGTCGCTGCCTGCTGGCTGATGCAACAGCACCGACTTCCGATGCAAAGCGGCCGATTCCGGCCAATGCAGAGACGCTGATTCTGCTCGCAACGCACCCGATGCTGGCCAGAGTCGCTGATGCTGGGCCATGAAGACGCTCATGTCCTCGAGCGGCGGGGGTTCGTCACCAGAGCCATCTGCTGGAGCACATTGGTCAACGAGTCTGCATTCCCACTCTCTCGCGGAGTGACTGACGGACTGACGGACTGACGGACTGACGGGCTGTGATGCTGCTTCGTCATGCTCCAGACCCTTGCGTTTGCAACGGCCCATTGCACGAGCAGATGCCAGCGACTGTGCTGGGTGGATGCCGCCCAAAGACATACCTGTGGTGCGTATCATGGTGCCTGTGAGCTGCTGCAGGGCCAACGGGATCTTGAGAGAAGTCGGTTGGTGCGGGTCTGTTCTGGATCGTGCTTGGGTCTGTCCGGGATCGTTGTCGGCATCGATATTGGCGCGCAGGGTATGCAAATGGCTCGATATTGCCGCCGGATTGCGGCCGGATTGCCGCCGGATTGCCGCCCAGGTTGCCGCCAAGCTCGGCTGCAGTGTTGCGAGATTGTCTCGCTGGCGGGTCTGGGCTTCGTCTTTGCATCTGCATTGGTCGAGCCGATGAGTGCCTTGGACGAATACGAGTCTGACCGCAATGTATGGTTCTTGCACCGTTGTTGGACTGCCTTGGTCGTCCAGCACAACAGCCAGACTGACTCTGTTTGCTCACACAGATCCAAGAGTCGATTGCCGCAAGCGGGTTGATCGAAGATGTCTATGAGCGTGTCTCCAAGGAACTGAGGTTGGAGGTGTGGTTGGAGATGTGGCTGTTGATGCATGTGGTTGGAGTTGCATGTGGTTGGGGACCCTTTCCTTTGGCCATCGATGCTTCAGTTGCTGACTCCTGTGATCCTCGTCCATCACGGCCCATTTTGACGACGCTCTGTATCGACGGTGTCCAGACAGAGCCTCTCGGACCCGGTGCGAGCCTTGGGATCGGCAGATGCGATGGAGCAAGAAGCCTGCATCGCTGTCGGTCGAGATCATGGCGGACGAGCAAAGGTCCCAGCGACAGCGACAAAGCCTGGGTGCCGCTATTTGAGAATCGAGCTTGGCCAAGGGAGAGCATTCCTTGGGCTCGAGGAGATCCAGGAGGTTTGCCGACATTGTGCAAGAGTGCTGCAAGGGCGGGGAAGGTGCTGGGAAGGTGCTGGGAAGGTGCTGGGGAAAGCGCCGCAACCAATCAGGACTTGGTCTCGACCAGCTCCAGCCAGTCTCGATCAGGGTGGATCAAGATCGATCGACCTTGATCAGCGGCGACCAGGCGGGGCCAAGCCGGAGGCAAGTGATGGGGCATTCCGAGAGATCGGCAAGCCGGCTGACATGGCTCTTGTGCTGCAGGAATCGACATGGCTCAGTCTGGATGTGCAATTCCGAGCACAGCGACTCTCGACATCCCTGGTCCCGTCGACGACTGATCCCCGCTTCAGCGAATCGTGGATGATTGAGCTTCCGGTCTGACTCGATTGCGACGGTGGCGTGACGGATCTGGTGGTCCGCATCTGCAACTGGCTCCTATCGCCATGTACAATCGGCTCCTGTTGTCACGAGCAATTGGTTCTCATCCGCCCTCTCTATTGCCATCTGCTCCAGCAAGCCGATTTGCAGTCGATATCCAGCATTGGCGACCGGCTCCACTTTGTCGCCATCCGATCCGACGGACACTTCACCCGATCTGTCATTGGCTCAGCTGTGGTCGAGTGGCGAGAGGTAACGATGTGCTCCGGACCAGAGCATCCAGCATTGGCACCAGCACCAGCACCAGCACCAGCATCCAGCACCAGCATCCAGCACCGGCACTGACACTGTATCTGACACAACGGCTTGCGATTTTTCGGACAATCCCAGGTGCTGGTCGCTGACAAAGTCTCTGCTTTCGCCGAGCTGAGAGAGGTTGGCAACAGCCAGCTGACGGCTGGGCTCGTCGAGCTGACCCTGGAGCTGTTCCCAAAGCCGACGCAATTCCTGGATCGAGATGAGCTCGAGTTTCTGGTGGGTTGGTGTGGGTTGGTGTGGGTTGGTGTGGGTTGGTGTGGGTTGGTGTGGGTTGGTGTGGGTTGGTGTGGGTTGGTGTGGGTTGGTATGCGATGCATGGATATGATCCTGTCGGTCGGTGGACAGAGCCGCCGATGCAGCTTGTGCAGTTCAGCCTGAGTGTCTGGAGAGGCCGGCGGCAGAGCCTTCGCGCTGGTGGGAAATGCATCGTTCCTGCCAATCGCTTCGCTCATGGGAAGTGCATCGCTCGTGCCTATCGCCTCTGACACTGCGCTCGATTCTTGAAAGTTTAGATCAAACGGGAGGAGCGTGCCATCACGGATACCGCTCGTCTGTTTCACCTCTATGCAAAGCAGGCAAGTCACTTCTCGACAGCACCATCTGCCGGGCTCAGACATCCTTGGTGCCGAGGAGCTCCGAGCCTCGGAGAGGACCACAGCACCACCGCACAGCAGGCCACAGGACAGCTGGGCCAGGTGCGCTATTGAAACAAAAAGGACAGCTGGGCCGCAGGACTGCACCTGACTCTGCGCCGAATGTCTGCGATCCGATCCAATCCCGTCGCCAGTGGTGGTCAGACTTTCTGCAAATCCGAAGCACCCATGCGAATCGGCTGGTCAAGATCTTTGCACTTGATGAACAGGGCCACCGCAGCCCAGTCACCGGATACATATATCCGATCGAAGGTATCGCTGCTCGAAAGGACTGGCGGCCGGCTTTGCAGGGATGAGTCATTGGGTCAGCATCGAGGAGGCGTCGGCTGCGAGATCGCTGAGATCAGCACTGGGATCGGCTGAGATCCGTGCCGGGATTGACTGAGACACTGGCTATGGGACTCAGTACCGGGCCGTTGGTTGAGGAATCAGCTTGTTTGTGACTGGCGCTGATCAAACGACATCCCACAGCCGATTCCATCGAGAGCCCCCGACATGCGTTGCGCTTTGTTTCTCTGATTCCGTACCACAAAATCAAGCCTGTCGGTGAGCCAAAGTATGATGTCGTCGGGCGTGCAGCAGCCCACATCACGCACTGCAGTTGCTCGGAGGACGGTGGCTTCGATCATGCGCAACAGAGCGGGATACTGGGACTGGGTGCGACGGATATCTGGGCTGCTGTCAAGAAGCGATGGAGTGCTGTGACGGAGTGGTGGAGTGGATGTTGTGGCAGACGTGTGGGCTGTATCGAACAACGCACTGACAACTGCATTCAACCCAGTGCCGATATCTGGCAGAGTCTGCACACCTTTCTGTGTGCCGGCCATGGCGATGCCCACGACCACAGCATACTCCTGTGCAATCTGCTTCTCGGTGAGTCAGCGCTGCGTCCGAGTGATGCCCCGGAGCGATGCGGCGGGACTGTCGACTGAGGTGCCGAGCCCGCCCACGAATGTGGTGGGATGGCCAGCTGATGCGCCAGGCAGCTACTGATGCCATTCGATTGCGTCGCCAAGGGTTTTCTCTGGATGCATATGTTGCATGCGGGGTTGGACGAGACGGCACAGCAACCTGCTGGGTTGTGACGATTGATGTGTCTGGTGAGTGGGCCATCGATGGTGCTCTGGTGGGGGTCTGGTGGTGGTCTGGTGGTGCTCTGGTGGTGTTCGACACCAGAAGTTGTGCCGAGCAGGCGACAGGCATTCAAACACCGAGCTGCTCGACATGCGAGCCCGTCGGTCACCCAAAGACAGAGACGCAAGCCAATCGACTATGCTGACATGGTGCCTGGCAGGCGATGTTCATATCTGGGACCCGCTGCGTGGGATACGGTACAAGCCCAACGACCCGCATCCATATCGCAACATTGGCTGTCTGTTCAACGGGGAGACACTCCTTGCCAATATCCAGGTGAGGCATTGCATGGTGCGGTGTTGGGCGGTATGGTGCGTGAACGAGCGACCTGGTGTGTGTGGAGCGACCTGGTGTGTGTGGAGTGGGATTCATCGATCCACCCACACCCACATCCACATCCACATCCACATCCACACCCACACCCCTCAGTCGTGCGACTCGGTCGACCGCTGCAGCTTCAACTTGGCGGATCCGTCGCAGTGGAAGATGGTTTCGGCAGAATCTCTCCGATCCATGAGGATCGCGGCGACCCCAGGATTCGGCTTGTCGCTCCGGCCATGTCCCTCGTCGTGGTGCTCGCGGCAGACCGAGCTCGAAATCGCCGACCAGATCAAGCAGTACATATCCGAGTTCAGGCAGGACAGGGACATGTGTTGCATCTGGGATGTGCATCTCGGCCACCTGTTGCGCCAGTGCCTGTCTGGGTACGAGCTGCAGAAGCTCTATTTCTCCAGCGGCGGAACGGGCCAGTCCGAATGTGATCTCGTTGGACGGGGATACTTTGAAGCTGGCGTTCGGCGATCGATCCCTGATGGATCGACGTTCAAGGTGGGTGCGTCTGCCAACATCGTTGCCGTGGAGGACGACATCGCTGTTCGGGCCAGCGATTGCTGTTGGGCCCACCATCGCTCTCTGGCAAACACTCAGCGCCGAGGACCACACCCTCGCATCGCACTCTCTGCAGCGGCTGACCCATCCACGCCGACGACTGCAGGCGTTTCCATGCCAGTTCAATCATCTCGATCCTCCAAAGCTCTTCAACGGGCTGCTCAAGGCTGCAGCAGCACGCGATTTGATAGCGACCCGAGCCGACAAGGTTCGCTTCGGCCTGCAGTGCAAGGTCATTCCGTACGCCGAAACGGCTTGCTCGATCTGGATCATGATCGCCGTCAAGTACCAGTCCGTGGCACTCTAATCCGGGTCGGTCTTGAGGCTCCGTCGATCCTCTGTCGTCCGAGCCTCCGTCGATCCGCTGTCGCCCGAGCCTGCACATCGCCAGCACCACCATTGGCTGAGCCCATCCAACTGCACCCGTGAACAACGACAAGGTGGACACCACAGCGATGTTGCAGGACGCTTGGTCTCGCAATCCCGATGGATCGATGAGTTGGGGGAATGGCCCAGAGTCGACAAACGGTGCTTGCAGAAGAACCGTGGTGCTGCTGGAATGTATTGGGAGGTGCAAAAATGCGGCGATGCAACATTGCTTCGCCGACGGCATCGGCATCGGCATCGGCATCAGGGAGCACGCTCGATCTGGCGGGTGCAGCATGGAGCGAGACGAGAAGCACCATCTTCCTCTCCTTTGTAACAATACACTTGGCTGGACTCGCCCCAACTCAACTGCCGGCCTCGATGACCTTTGAGCGAATCGAGCGAATCGTACTGCTGATTTGCTTCCTCTGTGCCGAAGGGATCTTGGAGAAGAGCTTGGTGGGAACCAACAGGACACAGGGTATGATCGTTGCGACTGTCTCTTGAACCAGCGAGTCGGTCGATTCGATTCCATACTGGTCCAGGAGGTATTTCTGGCGAAGCTGCAACGAGAATGTGATGATCAAAGCCAGGTATCCGATGATTCTGACGGCGTTGTCGGCCACCAGCCTGTATGGCATCACAAAGGCGCTGTCGACGGACAGAGTGTCAGAAGCGGAGCGACGCTCTCAGGAGGCACTCGCCGAGGCAGCATCCTCTGAGGCACGGCGAGTCTGCTCGATCATCAGCACGCAGCAGAATCAATCGTCCATCGATATCACTGACAATGCATCGGCCACATCAGCGCACCGGCCACTTCCACATACCGCACAAGCAGGAACATCCACAGGACGAACAACGCTGCATATCTGGGTGTATAGTCTGCGGTGGACGGGACATGGCGTCAGATGCCACGGACGATCTTGGGTGATTCGGGCGATGTGTGATATCCAACAAGCCATGTGCAAGTGTCGTGCGGCCATGTGCAAGTGTCGTGCGGCCATGTGCAGGTGTTGTTGCGGCCGATACCCACCTCCTGTCGAGCGGAGCAGCAGCGGCAGTCCGACGATCGTGGAGCGCTCTATCAGGTCGATGGCGGTCCACCAGCGGCATTGCTCGGTGTAGCAGCGATGCAGAACATAGAGTGGGTCTGTTGCTTCTGATTCGATTGGGACAACAACTGCTTCGTTGGCGATATCAGCATCGAGAGTCGGTGTATTTGGCTCGGGTTGCTGCTTGCTTCGCAGACCGAGCCCTTGACGAAAGATGACACCGGGAAGCACAATGACTTGAACCACCACGACGATGCCAGACAACACCGCCACGGTTGTGTGGGAATCGGTCCAACACTGGCATCCGATCCGCCGATGGTGACAGTGGTGGCGGTGAGAGCGGTGGTGGGAGTGGTGTTGGCATGGTGGGTCGAGTCGAATCGATCCCAGATCAGTCCGACTCCAGAGTGACCCGATTCAAACGCACTGCCTCCACTCCAGCAGCAAGCAACGGCAAGCAACGGCAACGCACCTGGACCGACGGATAGTCCCAGACGACCGATGGAAACCCCTCGATGGCCCGACAGGACAGGATCGTCACGGCTGGAGAGCACTGGTCAGTTCATCGCCTCATGCAAGCACCGACACATTCAAAGTGCTGACCCATTCAAGGCACTGACCCATTCGATTCACCCGTCGAAGCCATTCCCTCGTCGACATTGCTCACTCGACCACGCTCCCCCCCCGGCGACTGTGCTGGCATCTCACCTGTGCTGTACACCGGACTGAAGCTGAACAGCGCCAAGACGATGACCGATCGAGTCAGCGAGTGTTTGAAGCTGGTGTCGAGGTACGGAAACCACCGAACTATCGTCTTCCAGGCCCTCCTGGCCAGCGGGCCTCGATTCGGACTCCTGAGCACTTGGATCAGAACATGCCACAGTCCCAGGCAGACGACCATCGCCATCACCATCACATAGGCCGAGATCATTTTGGCAAACTGGTCGAGTGGGAGGATGCATCCGTTTCCGCCACTTTGGATGTTCAAGCTCAGGGTCAGAAACGCCAGGGCTCGAGACAGGGCCGTTGTGTGGTCAAAGTCCAGGAGGTAGGCAACCTGGTACACAAATATCTGAGATGGATGCAGAGACGGCGTGAGTTCATGGAGCATGTCTCTCCTTGCCAGACAGCCAATCGCCGCAGGGTCCACGGCGATGCTCTTGCCGCTCTTGCCGCATCCTCGCCGCATCCTCGCAACACGAATGCTTACCAGGTCGACCAGAAATCCCTCCTTGGATGTTGGAATCACACACAGAATGCAGACGACAACGAAAATAGCAACAAATGCCGCGACTCCGACAGCAATGTTGCTGCCGAGGCTGTCGCAGTGGGTGCATTGGCCACCCCATTCGTACTGGCCGCTGGGACACTGCGAACAGAGCCTGGAGAGTCCCGAGCTGTCAGCCGCCGTTGTCGCCATCGCCGTTGGTTGCATATGCACGAATGTGCTGCTGTGCGTGGATGTGCTGCATGCATTTCCACTCTGTCATCGACCCTCAAAGCAGCGACCATACCACCGATCCAATCCATCACATCAGCGCCCATACCACCGACCCAACCTCCCTCGTGTTCCCAGCGCCATCTCGATCGAGTCGCTGCCGATACATACACTCCGCTGTGTTCGTGGATGCACTGGTTTCCACCACCGATCGGGCATGCGTTTGGACAGCCTGTTCAAGGCAGAATGGTGAGTATCTGCACCATCGAGATCGCACCAGCAGCATGCCAGCAGCGGCCGTGGGGCACCAACGAGCTCACAGTTTGCGGTTGCATCGCACAGATAGAATGCGGAATCGATTGCCGAGGCATTTGCGTTGTACCAATAGCCCTTGGCGATCATGATGTTGGCATTATGGCACACCGCGCCAACAGGACAGGGCTTGCAGGTCGAATTGGAGTTCAGATTGTATGTTCCTGTGGCAATGGATTCGATCTGTGAGCACCAGCACGGTCAATGCGTCGACTATCCGCGGAGCCTATGTGTCGACCATCCGCAGCGATGCGGGTGCTGTCTGCGTTTCGTCGAGCGCTGTATCATCCGAGTGCGAGGCAGTCCAGGCATACCCTCAGGACATGGGACACAGAGCTGCGACACCACTTCACTGGAATACGACTGCCATCCAGGCGGACACACTGAAGCGGGTCCGTGAGGTGGTCCATGGAGTGGTCCGTGGAATTGGCCGTGGAATTGGTCCGCGGAGTTAGTCTGTGGACGTGGTGCATCGGCGAGCGACGGCGTCGGCCCTCACCTTCAAAGAGCGAGTCGGAGGGAACCTGGACATCCGAGCGAGTTGTGAACAGCAGGTGTGTCGTCGATGCACCGCCGCAGAGCATGGACCGGGATGTTAGCAGTGGCCTGCCAAGAGCGATGCGGCCCATCAGCAACCACGGCCCAGACACCAGTCTCAGGGGTGGCCGCCTTGGATCACTCACCTTGGTTGAGCCATCAAAGTTGTAGTATTGACACATGTGACAGTCTGTGATGATCTCGTCGTTTTCGTAGTATGCAATATTCTTGTATTCCACGGTGCTGTTTTGCGACACAACGACCGAGATCACAAACGGACCCTGTCGACAGCGATATTGGAATCGGTGCGTCGGGAATCGGTGATTTTTGAATCGGCGTGTCGGGAATCGGTGATTTTTGAATCGGCGTGTCGGGAATCGGTGTCTGAATCAGTGACTCGAGCGACATGCACGGACTGTGGACTGTCATCGCCGACCCGGCTGGGCGGACAGAGCACTGCCTCTGCCAGAGGAAGCATCGGACCAAGTCCAACAACGATCTCGACCACCGACCGCCATGATTCCATCGTCATTGAAGATTGAGAATCCCGATGCGCCGTCGTAGATCAGATCACCAACGGCGCGCAAGGGATACGTCGAGTTGGTCGCCAGCAGCTGCAGGAACGGGGTGTCCGGGTAGATCCGAGTGAGGTTGGTCTGTGAGACAACCGTCGACATGGAGGTGAGCAATCGCAGATTCGCTGCTGAGTGTCCACCGTTCCATGACTGTGCACGAGTGTGCACGATTGTCCACGACTGTGCCGTCAGAGTATTACCCATGCCAGTGCCATGATGTAAGCGGCGTCGTAAACCCCTCTTGAGACGGATGGGAGGTTGTTTGTTCGCATGAGAAAGATGACAATTGCACCGATTCACTCAACGACAGAGTGGGAGCGGGATCGGATCATCGGCTCTGCGACATGTGCACAACTGGCTCGACATCATACCGAACACCCCACTCCCACAGATCCCCCGACAACAGCGGATACATGGTTGCGTTCTGGAGCGACATGCTGTTCCACTTGCTGTTGAACTCGTTGTATCCGGCTCCGTTCGTGACATTCTGAGTAGCTGTGGGCGACAGTGGCCATGGGACTGCGATCAGGAAACAGGCCTTGCATCACGGCGATACTACCACAATGATACCACCACAACGGCATCACCACAACGATGTCACCAAGTGATGGACTGACGAACCCCATATAAATCCCTGTGCTGCTTGTATCGGGTCGCCGTTGAACCAAGAAAAGTCCATGAAGTTGTAGTACGGGATGTTGATGCCCTGCACGGTTCGGTGTGAGCACCTGGGAAGGCATCCTGGACGACCCCGCTCAGCGACACCGACATTGGGCCGACGGCGCCACTGACCATCCAGACATATGTTGGGCCCACCAAGCCGCGTCCATATGCCATGTAGTAGAGATCGGATGTGTACTGGGCGATGGCGCAGACGATGATGATCTTTGCCCTTGACTTTTGGAGATTCTCGAGAGGAATGGCCAGGTCGGAGCGGTTCCCTTGAGTGGGTCCGTAGAATCCCTGGTGGCGATTGCGAGTCATGAGGCAGTCAGGCAGCCAGACAGTCAGGCAGTCAGGCAGCCAGGCAGTCAGGCAGTCAGGCAGCCAGGCAGTCAGGCAGTCAGGCAGCCAGGCAGTCAGGCAGTGGACTGTGGGTACTCTGGGACTGGGCACTCGGGGTTGTTTGACAGAGCCCAGATCCCGGCCCAGAGATCCAGGCCGGACCAGTGCCCCCCTGTCCGTCGCTCCACCGGCTCGGGTGCAGTTCCCACCTGCTCGAGAACGATATTGAATCCCATTGCGTTGGCGACGGACTTGGCATCGTCCCTTGCTGCAGGACATGACGCATGGGTGAATGTGGCGTGTCCCAATCGTCCGTGCTTGTGAACATGATTCGGCTCTGGCAATCCACTCTGCTCGGAACTCGATACGACCCACAGATCGAGACGACATTTGCAGCGGCTGGCTCACTGGCATGCTTACCAGTGGTTCCAAATGGCTCACGACTGTACATTAGAGCCACCTGATTGTGAGTTGCCGGATGAGCAGATCAGTCGGCCGACACGAGAGATTCGCCCCCGAGGCGAGACCACTCGGACCAGTTGGATCGCTGGACCAGTCGGATCGCTCAGACAGTCGGATCACTCGGACAGTTGGATCACTCGGCTCGCTCACGGCTCCCCAGATCTGCTCGGCAACACGGCGCATACCGATCGCCATCCCATGGCTCTGGCAAAGGCGAATAGTGCTTGGAGATACACAATATTGGGCTGGATGAGGGAGAGATAGGTCTGCAAGCACAACTCGGGTGAGATGGCTATTGCGTTAGACGGCCCCTGTGGGATCACTCCTGTGAGGCAACCACCGAGCCATCGGGACATCGGGCCATCAAGCAGTCAGGCTGCGTGCGGCTGGAACCGTACCGGGTATGCTGTCCTGTTGGTGAGTATGGTTGCGGAGGTGAACAGACCGATGTGGAGGATCTGTTGATGGGCAGCGAGGTCAGTAAGCAACAGGCAGATCAGTCGCCGGGTCTCTGAAGAGCGAGACTCACATCATAGAAGCTGGATATGGTTGCTTCGTATTCGCTTTGCTGAAGACATGGCAGAGGCGTGAGTCGATGATCCAACGAGATTTGCACAGAGCGTCGCGGGCGGACGCACCCCACCTCGCTGGTTGTGTCTCCGATCACAGCATTGATGCCGTCATTTTGTATCATATCGAGGAGACTGACGCTGGAACGAACGCCGGCAAGGAGCCGCACGTGTGAGTGGCGAGTTCGGTGCAGCAAGTGCAAGTGCAGCAAGTGCAGCAAGTGCAGCAAGTGCAGCAAGTGCAGCAAGTGCAGCAAGTGCATGTGAGGCCGAGAGAGCGAGCTTCGAACCATTACATTCCGTCGCTGAATGAGCCGCGGCTGCTGCCGACGACAGGCAGTAGCGTGACATCTGCTCGTCGAGCACAATGAAGGTCATATTGGGTCCTGGGTGAGCATGGCGTCGATCACGGACGGAGGTTTGCATGAGAACGAGCGACGCGAAAGGGTCTGCATGCACCAGCGTCAATGGCGCATGAACGCACTCGGCAGGATCGTCGAGCTGTTGTTGATTTCGTTGAAAGCCATCTGCATTGCCGTCAGGAGATACGGGTTCTCGGGAAAGTCGATCGGATCGTCAATGTCGTAAATGAGGCCGACCTTGACCGCGACGGATCCATGATGCACGGCATCGACCATGTCGGCCAAGATGGAGAGCAGCCACAGAACCAAGAGAGACCCAAAGATACGCAGCATTGCTCAGAGAAGGCAATTGCCTGATGGATGCATGTGGTTGGGAAATGGTGGTGGCCGAGACGATGGTCGTCGGGTTGATGGTCGCCGGGTTGATGGTCGCCGGGTTGATGGTCGCCGAGGCAAGCCACAAGGCAAATCGCCGAGAGGGAAGTGTCCCGTCGGTCCGGCAGCGAATGTGGTCAAAGTCCATGGGCCACAGTTGTCCCATAGCAGGATGCAGAGCCGAGTGGTATCGTCACTGCCAATCAGGCAGCTGTATCATCCCTCTGCGCTGCGCTTGGTGATCGAGGACGGGGCCACTCGCTGCACTCCATTCCACTCCACTCCCGTTCACAGCAGCAGCGAATCATGGCATTCAGCAGACAAAGGGCAAGCGGGCCACCCGGACAGAAGCTTCCAGGGTCGGTGCATTGTTGCCGGCCATTGTTCGCATGTGCCTCAGCCCGACAGAGCACCATTGATGCCAGGGTATATAAGCCGACCGAGCAAGGATCGCCGCCCACGAGGGTGCAGAAACGCACAAATACAGGTGGGTTGTTTGGTGCACTGGTGGATGCTGATGGGATGCTGGTGGATGCTGGTGGATGCTGGTGGATGCTGATGGATGCTGGTGGATGCTGGTGGATGCTGGTGGATGCTGGTGGATGCTGGTGGATGCTGGTTGAAACTCGGGGTGTGGGACATGCCATCGAGCGAGCCGATTGATGAACCGAGAGCGGTGGAGCACGGACTGATGGACTGACGAACGGTGAATGGGTGTGTTGGCAGCAATGTCAAAGCAACTGGAGTTGACCGCACATCCAAGCCTCCAGAGCTCGTTCGGCGTGACCGTCGAGGAACTCTCGGCCTTGACGACGCCGACGCCGACCCATTCAAACAACAGAGTATTCGATTTTGGACTGGTTTTACTTCGATTCTGTATTTTTCGATGATTCCTCCACTGGCATCCCACACCGGTTGTCATTCCAGCCTTCAAGTTACTCTGATTTTATGAAGGATCACATATCAGCCATATCTCGCTTCGTTTTTGGTAACTGTGATGGATTCTTGATCGTCGTGGATCCGAGGGGGCCTTGACGAGTCCTCCTTGAGACTTGGCCCGTGATGCCCTCAGTGAATCTGGATGTACATGAAGTGAGTGGGTGCTACCAAGCCTACCGAGTCGCTGCAGATGTTGCCGTAAATTAGGGCAAGAGAACATCCTTCAGATGAGGGAGGACGTCACAGGACATGACCAGCATTCCTATATCCCGTCAACAGAGTCCGCCACATCTTTGGGAGCGCGGATCATCATCATTTTATGCACCCCGTCCACAACCCATCCGTGTGTTGAGGTGTCTTGTTTCATAATGGACACGCTATATTCATCCAAAAAGCAAATTGGGGCAAGTACATGGATGGCTATTGCACCATGATCAATTTACCCGGTTTCACAATCACATTTGCTTGCGCGCACTGCGGATTGGTAATGTGACGATTCAGCAACGCAAGGATATGTACACCCTGTCATTCGTGATCCGAGTCCGAAACTATCAGCTTTGATCTTTTGGGGCCTGTCTCGGTATTTTGTGATGCGCGCTTCTGGTTTCGGTGAGTCTGTGTGGGGATTGGCTTTGCATCCAGCGGCCCTGAGACGTCAGCGCTCATGGGACCTCGATCGTTGTCAGCATCGCCATGCTCGATCAACTGCGTCTGGTCATTTTCCATCAGCTCCATAAACTGGAATGAATCAACCGAACGAGATCCATATCAGTGCCCCGATCCCAGTATCCGTTCCGATGACAGTGTGTGGGTGTGGGTACAAATATACGAACCGCAGCAAATCGAGTCCGGATCTGATGTTTTGTGGGATTCGTTTGGGCCACCACCACCCCCGGAGGGAGCCAAGGAATGGATGGACAGTCTGGCCGCTTTCTCTGCAGGGCTTTCTCATTTGATTTTTGGCTCTCTCCGGAATATGTTTGGCATTTTCTGATGGGGTGAGCGATGGGTTAGACGTGAGCGACTCGCGGAATTCGACGTGTATCGATCGTGTTTAGTACGAATGTACTCACGCATCGGATATGCCGTATGTGTGCTGCAAATGTCTCTTGAGGATGATCAGCATGGACATGCAGACGGCTGCGCGGGAGAGGCTCGGGAGAGAATCTGATGAACCACAACAAACAAACACGAGTGAGAGGGTGAGATAAGCCACAATGCAACTTAGTCGGGCATATGCCTTATTTGATGCATACCGGCCGAGATGCTGACGGGATCCTTCTCCCACTTGGCGATTGCCTCATGGACCGTTTCGCCTTGCACCGACAGAATCCTCAAGATGTGATGAACGATAAACAGGATTTCGTCGTGGTTCTTGTACTCGAACAACGCCAGGTTCTCGCCAACAAACTGACAAAGCTGCACCCGCTCCTGTAGTCCAAATTGGCCACCATCAGCCAAAAGCTTCTGATCAGTTATATTCCTCGGACTCAAGTCAGCATACCCTGTCGGCTGTTGAAGCGTCTTCCAGCTGCATTGCTCGTCGATTGCAGCGCAGGAACCTACCTCTGGCTCCTTCGTTAAATCGACGTCATATAGCCGCAGCAGCTGCGTGATCAAGTCGCTGCGCTTGGGGCGTTTCGCCTGCACGAGTTGGTACAGTTTCGATAGCGCAGCTTCATGATAGCTCAGAGTCTGGCCATCATCATTCTGCCGAGGTACTACAATGTACCCAAGGGGGGCGGTGTGGTCCTGCTTGGTCACTGTTGTGCGATATTCAAATGCCTTCCGAACACACTCGAGATTCTTGGTGCTGATCAAGCTCGCATGCTTATCGGAGAGATTCTTGTGGACTTGGAACGAGCGATTGCGGATTGCACTGTCTGGGTGGGACTCCATGGCCACGATCGATGGCAAGCCCTGTCAAGTACATATCGCAGCGAGCAGTGAGCAGTGTGCAGACTGGACCAATGTCCGGTTTGATGGACATCATTCTCGAGCCAAAAATCGTGCATCAGTAGCTCACCATCATCGGGTGAATTAGCGACCGCTCAACGCCCAAAATCAGGACATCGAATGCGGCCTGCAAAAGCTGAGGATCGGGCTGGATCAGGCAGTCCAGGATCTGCTTTGTGTAGAGCCGTAGCAAGCTGATGCTAACGGAATCGTTGGCCATTTCCTTTGCGTTGCCCATCAAGATGCTGAAGTTCACGGCCTCGCTATTGATCGTCGAGGCTGAGAAAGGCAGTACACAAATCGAAAGTGAGCGACGCTGGAGTCAGTGTCATGCAGTGCAAAAACGGGGCGGCGTCACAGTCGCAAAGCTGACTGATATATCTCTGATTAGCTCTGACTAACGTTGGTTCGATGACATTATATATGGAATAGAAACTGGAAACGGTCTCGGTTTACAGATGTAACGGAGCAGTTACCTCGATCAACGCGTTCCTTCTCCATGCGGGCTTGTTCGGTCTCCAAGAAATCCAGAAAAAACTTGAGCAGCGAGACCTGGAGAATAGGCAACGCTCCACCAAATATTGAGTCCATCAGTTCGCGAGCGCGTGTTGTAAGGGTGAGCTGTGGCTTGGATACAAAGATATCGCCTGCATTGAGCAGTGGGGGCAGGGGTCAGCGTTTGAGCTCGTGCTGGCCCTACAATCAGAAACTTCATGCAAGGGTGCGCAAACATGCGACTGGGCATGTATCGTGAGCAGGAGGCCCTTGCGCGATGCATGTGCAGGTTTTCCGCGCTTCAATCAGGCTCGACGATGCCACTGCAACGATAGCAGTAAACTATAGCAAGGAACCCTTGTGCTGGGCGGAGCCATCATTCATGCCGCTCACCAAGAGCCGATATCGCCAAGTTGCGAGTCGTATCGCTGCTGGCATCCGGATGCTGGGCAAAATATAGAACCAGAGTGAAGCACTTTTCGGCAATCGAGTCCTAAGTACGAGAGGATCCGGGTTTGGGTTTGGAACAGCCATGAGCTTTAAAGAACGGGTTTTGGAAGCAAAGTCGTGTCTTACTAGCGATTTTAGCACTGAAAGACGATTCCGGTACCTTTCCGAAGCTTGATAGATCTTGCAATGCATCCTCGGCTACATGGGGATAGTTGAGGCACGGAGTGTGGAGTGCGGAGTAGTTTTCGGATTCAGTCATAGCATCGGCGTGATGCAAATCCGAATCGAACTCAACCCAACCCCCGTGAGATGATCGATGGCGGCCGCGAAGATTGCTTCGCCCGGTCGGCGCCGACATGATCGATATCTCGCTTTGGCACATTCGATCGAGGGCTTTATCTTACATTTGAAGAGGGTTCGATCATCAAAATTACATCTCCGGAGCAGGGGGCCAAGGATGAGCAGGCAGCGCCAGAGCTGCTTCTGGACGGCCGGCGCAAGCGGGGTACCTCTTGCTTTCTCGTTCTTGGCACGCTCAAGGAAACCTGAGTCGAGGACCATTCAGTCAATGGTATCGCCAGGCATCTGCTGCACGTAGCATGGCATTGAGCGAGCGCAAGACATGGATCGTGTCGCAGAGGGCTCCGAGCCTACCAACACAAGTCTTGAGGATCTTGGTCAGCTTATGGACATTATTGGTCGCTGAGAATACGGTTGTTACGAAACATGGAACAGCAACTGAGATGATCTGGTTGACGTCGGGCATGGTCATTAGCGGTTTCAGTATACTCGGCTGTGGACCGCACTTGCAATCGTGTTGCCCCTTGTTCAACCACGCTGTTGCAGAGAAGCACCGAGCTTCAACAGGCAATCACCTACCGAGCTAGCGCCCTTGTTCAGGATCTGGGTGAGCTCCTTTTCTATTTCGAGGATGACCGCGTGGTCGGCATCTCGCAAGATCGGAACGACGTTGTTGAATATGCCGATCAGAGTCTGGAGCACGCGTTGGTCCGCTGGCGCCGCAGCAATTCCTTCGCTCTGTTCGCAACGACAGGCATGTTAGAGCCCCAGTACTGTCAGTAGATGACGGCAAACCCATTCTGTCGCCCAGAAGCTGATCAATCCATGCATCCCACCTGTTGGGCAGGTGTCTTGAGATACGGCACCAGCGTGGCGATGTGTGGCTCGAGTAGTGGCGGGAATGCGCGACTGAATAGCAAAAGAATCACAAACACATCCGACAGCTGCATCTGAGCGGCAAGGAGAGTGCGAGTCAGTCCCAAGCACAGAAACACATCTCGTTCATCAGTAGATTGCGCTGAGCCTACCCCAGTTGTATCATCAAGACCGCCGACGATCTGTGACACTAAGCACTGAACCAGTAGGCTACAACTGTGGGCCATCGTTGCTCGCTCAGACATGGTGAGCTTGTCGCCAGTCTTGAGCCGATCCAGCAGTTCGCCAAACAGGTCGGACATCTTCTTGAAGTTGTGATCGGTTGAAAGCGATCGGACCATGATCCGGGTACGATGTTGTATCTGGCGCTGGTCGACAATCGAGAGGGACTCATACGCATTGTCATTCCCAGTGTCGGACTGGAACCAGATGTCAAAGAGCGTTCTGAGCGCCAGCTCTTGTACCGTGGGCTCTGAGTCGGCCAGCCGACTCATAATGCGACCGCAGATGTCGACTTGCACTTTGACGGCGTCTTCATCGGAGACAGGAGCACCCGACGACCACGACTGGCGTGAGGGGGCCCGGCTGACGTAAACATCCCTTAACAACTTGATCATGCGTTTCCGAACTGACGTTGAGACGTCCTGTGGTCGATGCACGAATCGCCATGTCAGAGATGTGGTTCCTTTGACACCAGTGCATCATTGGGGGCGAGCTGCGACAACGGTCGTCGTTCGAGCACCTGGAAAGGGCTGTGCATGACAAAGACTCACGAATATACGCTCGCTGAGCGTTTTGTAGTATTCATGGGCGCGTTCCCAGCGACCCTCCAAGTACTTGCTTAGCAGCTCAACCGTCGCATCTCGAACAGCGGCGCTGGGGTCAAGCAAACGCTGCTCAACAGCCTTGCGGACAGACTCGTTGTGCATGACGCTGCCATCAACCATGGCGACCATTTGGACAGCTTTCAAGGCCTTGGAGCGAATCGACACAGTATCGGACTGCATAGCCGTGTTGATCCGAAGCAATAGCTGATCCACCATCGAAGTGAGCAGCCCACGTTTGAACAGTGCTTCAGCGAGCATGCAAACCAGCTGCCGCGTATCGTCCATGGTCGCTGAAATGGCACGCATATCCCATGAAGACGCTTCAAGGGCCTCCCAGCGTGATGGGCTACACCACAGGTATTATGGTGAGCAAAGACAGCATGTTGCCAGTGAGTCCCGTTTGCATGGCCGCACCGCAAGTTTTGCCCCATTCAGAGTCGTGATGATCAACTCAGCGAATCGATGCGCCGGGCATACCTGATAGTCGACGTCCTGGACATGCACCGAACGTACTCACGGTAAAGGAGCCGAATCGCTCGGAATGCCGGTGCAGATGCATCGGACACGTGGTTACCTATCCGCGCGGCCATCGAGGACATCCAGCTGGACAGATAAAACATACGGGCCGTCTGGCGGGATATGGAGGAGTCTCAGGCTATTGTTGCAGCTCGCGCTCGCATGTTGTTATCGCAGATGTCGTTATCGCAGATGTAGTGACAAGTGGCTGCGAAGAGCGTATCGGCTTTACCTCGGAATCGTCCTCGCCGCTACCGGCGCTGTCAAGCCACTCGAGCACCGATTGCTGCACTTGCCACAGGGTGTGAACAATGTCGGGCTTGATCTCGTTCCAATTAGGGTGCGATTTGAGCACATCCGTTTGGTCGATGTGCGCAATGATGCTTTGAAGGTCGGTGTGGGTGTGCACTGAAGCCGCGGGTCGTTGAAGTATCTTGGCACAGACTTCTCCAAACCATTCGAGAGCAATCGATTTGCTGAACGTATCGCCGACCCGCTTGGGTTCGTCTGCAAACTGCAGCTGGGGTCGCAACAAAGTCGGTAACTCGAAACACATGAGCAGGAGATGGACAATCGCGTGCCGTTCATTGAGGGATGGGCACTACACATACCATGAAGCGGCTGTAAATCAACGCCACGGTTTCGGAGACCGGCCAGTCCGGGGCCTTCAGCACTGTGAGAAGGTCACTCAAAAAGTTTTCCAACACAACACGGTACTCCTGCTCGAGAGACGAATTGAGGGCGGTGCTGTTTCGTTTTCGACCTGCTGGCTTATCCTTGCTTTCGCCTGCGGTACCGCAGCGGTCGAGCAGATATCGAAAAAAGAATGCAACGCATGCCGCCGCAGCCTCGTGGGCATGTCGGCAAGAGGCCGCAAGCTGAGGCCAAGACAGCGCAGAGTTGAGCGAGGATTCAAGCGGCACTAATAGGATCAAGCGTCGCTATGATCACAGCATCACTGCGGGAGTACCGTGGAGCTGCCGATCATGTGTCTCAGAGTGATTGTTGTGTTGGCGCATACCTTATCGTAAACCTCCCCTTCCAGAGCGAATACGTCCTCGAGGCGATCTTGACAAGAATGCTGCAGCGAGCCCATTGACGCCGGGGGTGTTGCAGATGAGAGAGACTCCGGATGTAGTACCCCTGTTGCGACGCCTGAAACCGTGGCATGGGCATCGCGGATGGACAGCCGAAGGGCAGCCTGCGAGCTGCAGCTTTGGAAGAGCTGCAGGATAAGAGCGCTCACGATTTGAATGGAGGAGCCGTCGGAGAGTCTATGGGACGCCACCGCAAAAAAGATCTCAGATGTGGGCCGCTCACTCGAAAGCGAAACAGGATCGCAACAGCAGGATGCCAGCTCGCGTCCACAGCCCACAGCCCACAGCCCACGGGTCACAGGTCAACAGGCAGGCTTGCATCGCCGGTCAGCATATCAGACGGCACAGGCTCTCCTCAGCCATGGTACACATCGAACCAGTCTGCATCATAATTTCGTCGAAAAGCACGATGCCATGGGTATGCGGCATTCGCGGCCGTTGTGGGAGTGCTGGCGGACTAGGGGGTCGATGAGTACCTGTAGTGCTTGAGATAGCGCTTGGTGGTCGGGAGTTTGATCAAGTTAGACAGGATCTCCTCCAGGATAAAGTTCCGGTGATGAGAGTTTTCGGCAAAAATCTATTTGAGCCACGAGTGGCGGTCGTGGAAGCGCTCAGCGGTGAGCAGGCTGAATATTGCATATCGGCTGTGCGGGTGCAGCAAGCCCAGAACAAGAGCTGTCGAGAGCCATACCTTTCGGAGTAGTCGGATGGAGTGGACCTGAAGCTCTCGGAACCCAAGTTGGACGGCGAGTGGTGTCATCTCCACAAACATGGGTGCAAAAGATAGGAAGGCCACCTGCAGCACAACGACAGCAGTGTTGGTAGCTCGCCACACCTCGGACAGGCTTGATGCCAATCTGCAGTGAGAGACCCACCACCCGCAGCCTCGCGTTCTGAGCTGGTCCTATATCGCACGGCGCTGCTCACCGATATATGTACGTCGTCTTGGAAAACATCTGTAGACAAAAGGGCACACAGATTTTGCAAGACCATGGCGAGCTTGGCACCTATGTTCATCATGAGCTTGCGTGCGTGTCCCGTATTCGGAGCCGAAGCAAAAGGAAGTTAAGGATATATCAGGGGAACCAGCGGCGTCACGCCAAAGGGTGAATCAGAGGCGAAATCACTTGCTAATTAAAGGCGAACAGAGGCGGCTCAAGCAGCGGGCAGTGTACACAGGGTGCTCCACATGGTGGGGTGAAAAGGATATCTTTCAAGCAATGACTGAACAGCCTGGGCATTGTCCGAGCGAGAATCTGAGACAGTATGATCACGGAAGTCAGAATGACGCCCGACTTTGAATGCTGCCGGTCAACTTGGAGGAGGGTGAGTAGCTCCAGTTGCAGGCACCACCCCGCCCCCGACACCAACAAGCAAGCACCACGAGCGAGAATGACCGCGGCTTTACCTCCATGGGCATCAAGGATGCCGAGAATGGGAACGAGAATATGCTCGATCTGGTGCTTGGCAAAGCCGACAACGGCTTGCATCAGAGATTCGTCATATATCTCGCGCCGGACTGGGCCTTCGACCGTCGTGCCCGTGATCATGCGGATAGCCAGCAAGCCAGCCTCGGCCCCCAGAAGACTCGCATTCAGCCCGGACATAAGCGACTCTTCGTTTGTCGCGCTCGCTGCCAAGCCAGAAGCTTCGGGCAATTCGGTATGAATGCCAAGTCCACGTGAATCGTCGGAGGATCGCTTGAGCTTCTTTGTCGGTGTGCGGTAGGGTTGGTGATCCTGCGCAATCTTGAGATCCATACTTGGGTTCTCGGAAACGAGCGATTCCAGCAGCTTCAGCAGCCTTGCCAGCTTTGCGATTCTTTGATCGTTCTCGGCATCACCCGCTTCGGACTGCTGCAGGCGCTTGAAACCAGAATCCAGGGAGGTGGTGAGCTTGGTGAGGCGTTTTGAGAGCAGCGATAGGGTCTCGAGCCGCAGGCGGACGCAGTTGAAGTTGTCCTCAAAGTACAGGAGCTGGGATACCGATCCGTCAACGATGCGATCGTCTTCAGCAAGGATATCATCGAGCAGATCCCACCACTTTGTCGCCTCCGTGTCCGCTGTCGAGATGGCGATTCCGGCAAGATTAATTGAGCGCGAGACACAGACAGCGGCACCAAAAGTTGCACCGAGTCGAGTACGAGAATGGTTGCCGAGGTTAGACAGAGGGCACGGAGAGATCAGATTACTGTTAGATAAGTCGACGATCCACATGGCCATATTTTCCCACCAACGGGAGTAGCCTGGCGGATCTGCGCGCCAAGTGAGTCAGGAAGTGCATACCTTCGGAGCTCACGTCGTTGGATACAGCCGGGAAGGAGGGAACTTTGATGATCACTCGCTTCGTCTTGTCAGGGATAGCCTGTTTGGTCTCGAGCCGATCCAGACTCGCCCCAGAGCCCAACGCAGGCCGGCCTGGAGCGGAAGCGACAGAGTTGACTTGGGCTGGGCCACTCGGTAGTTTGACGCTGCCAACGAGCCTGGCTGGGTGTGACGTTTGGGCGGTCGGGTCGACAGGATGGCCGTGGGCTGCATGCTGTGTGGTTGGCACTACCGCCGGTGCTGCCATGGCTGAGTGGGAAGGACCGGGGTCAGATCGATTGTGAAGTTGTGGCCGTGATGGGACTCGCAATTTCGGGGTTGATCCAAGCCCGGCAACTGAGCAGCGAAAAGGGAGACAAGTGGCTGGTGTGAGATGTCGGCAAGATTGCGAATACACGATAGTGCCCAATGACGACGCTGGCGCTGACTCATCTATGACGAGAGAACAATGCGTCGAAGAAACGGCCAGTGTACGATACCAGAGGGAGCGACGAAGGCAGCAACATGGGCTGGATCCAGCACAGCAAGATCCGGGTTGAAGACACTATGAGAGGAGACCAAAGATAACAATGGTACGAGTTAGCATGAAGGGAGAGACCAGCTAGAAGCCACAACGCAGTGATGGATCGACCGAGTTGAGACGACGGAGACAGATCGAGAGCTATGCATAGCGGGCACGGAGATGGTCGAGGGAGCTGCAGCACCAGCGAGTATGAAAGCTGTTGACGGATCCCAAAGGCGAGATACACACAGGTGCTGGAGGCTGATGCGTTCCACTTGGCCAAGAACAGCGTTATCGAGCCTATATCCACTGGCTGGTGCGTCCAAGCCAAAGTCCAGGTGAGAGCCGATCGCATCGTCCACGAGAGGGGTGATGCTTGGCAGAATGTACGATACTGGATTGGGAGGAGAGGAAAGACGGATAGGCAGACGGGGGTGAGATGGCTATCGAGACGGCCGCTGGGACTACGGCCGAGCCGGTTGCAGATTATCGGTCGCTGTAGGAAACATACCATCATGGAACGTCGAAGGCAGCAGCGGGAGGAATTGCATTGCAGGTATCCAGGCCGAGCCGGTGATCGTCGGATGATTATGGCTGCCGGCATCCAAAGCGCCGGGAATGTGTGGCTGCAACGGCGCCGACGAGGCTGGAGATCCTGTCCTGGGCTCGGTCTGGGTCGACAGGGCGGACATGGTCGGCATTGAGGCGGCGGATCGGGGCAGATCAGGTCGTTCGAGAGCGCTTGGGGCCGGTGCGGATGGTGAACCGGGCAATGGCATCGATGGACGGATGGCGGGGGTTTGCCCAGATACGATCGGTGGACGACCAAGCAGATTCGGGCCAGGCCAGCCGGAGAGATGGGGCTGGAGACAGAGCGCTTGGACGGGATCGGACACAGCCGGTGCAGAGATCGGGGTGCAAAAGGCTGGGCTCGGCAGAGACACGGCCTGCTGAAGAGAAGCGGCCAGCACGATGCTTTGGAAGGTGGCTCGGGGAGGTCTGCGCGCAAAGCAGCATCGAGGACAGGAGGGACTGGAAGCTCTTGCCGGCGTTCATGGTGCTGTCGAACAGGACGACCTGCTTGATCCCCCCCCCCGCGGAGCTGTGCCATGCCGATTGCAACATGCCGATTGCAACATATGCCACGCAGCCATGAACATGATCGGACCAATCGATTGTCTCTCGCCAACAGAATGACATGTATTGATGATGCGAATGCTCGGCGCCAGGGTTTCCGGTGACGAAGCGCACACAAAGCGGAAGCAACACCCGCCGATCTTTACAAGATCTCCTCGACCATGCGGATGCCCTCGGCCTCCAGAGCCTCGATCAAGGGATAGACAACTTCGCCATCCAGAGGGGCGACGACACCCTTGCGGGTGATCTTGCCGTCCAGGATGAGCTGGGTGGTGATGGCACAGGGAACGCCGACGGTAGTGGCCATGGCGGTGGCACCGCCAGGGACACCAAACCAAAGGCCGGTCGAGGTGCGGGTCTGCTTGGTGCCGTCGGCGAGCTCGACGCCGAACTTGTGCTGGAGCATGACCATGTCGCGCTCGCCTTCCTCGTACTGCATCTTCTGCTCGAGAGTTGCGCAGAGGGTGTCGAGAAGGTTACCGCGGGGGGTAACGGGGGTGCTGGAGAGCAAGCCAAGCCTGGGAGGAGGAGGAATATGACACAATAAGAAGCCAGCGGGCATCGGAGGCGAAGTGACTCTGTTGCAGCATCGGGAGGCTGGCGACACTTACCACTTGATACCGTGAATGATGCGCTCGGCCTCTTCACCCTGGAGCCGGGCCTTGGCGCGAATGGCCTGGATCAGGTCACTGCATTCGAGCGAGAGCGATGGGAGAGTATGAGCGGGGCGCTATGCGTGTCTAAGGCCCAAGCCAGTCGCTTGCGCTGAATGCCAAAGCCGATCCACTTACGTTTCGACTTCGCTGTCGCTGGAGATGGCACGAGCAAAGACGGTTTTCTGTCGGGCGGCACAAGATCGGGGAGGGGGTAAGCATGAGACTCGGCAACGGTTTGAAGGAGGCTGCGATCGGCACCGAGCGACACACCATGGCGCGCTTTGGGAGCACGCTTTCATGCCATGTATCGACTGGCCGCCGCGGGACACCCGACTCACCCAGGGAAGAGGAGCAGCCGAAGAGTGCAGGTAAGCCTTCTCGGTGTCGTCAAGGAAGCCGAGGGCAACAAGGGCCTTGATGAACTTGGGGAAGCCCTGGTAGCGGAGAGTACCACGGAGCACGGTCTGAGCCTCGGGGATGCAGTAGCGAACTGTGGCAGCACAGATGTTAGGCGAGGGAAAAATGGAAGCAAGCGAAAGAGATTCGGTGGCGGCCGGCATGATCGATTATGGGTTGGAAGCAACAAGTGCTGGGGAAGCGAACGACGCAAATGTCCCAGTGGCAAAAGGCAGGCTCACCATCATAAGGCGTCGAGTCGCGGTTGGGGTATCCCTCAAAGGCAAAGGCGGGGTAAATGTAGATGGGCTTGGCGCTGTCCATCAGCTCGGGGCCAGGGATTTCGACGACCTAGATGGGCGAGCCATCGAGCCGAGGTAAGACGACGTGACAAGCCGGGCACCCAATTGGTCGTGCTCTTCGTGAGTGCGTGGGAGCATGCTGTACCTTGCCACCATCGATATACTTGGCATTGTTGCGCAGGGCAAGAAGGACGCCGCGCGAGCTCCAGCTGAACTTGTACCCAAGAGGGTTGTTGGAGCACTCGGGGGCGGGGAGGCCACCGCAGTACGACAGGAAGGAGACAATCTGGAGAGGGAGCAACGGAGACGCACGCGGCGAATGAGAATCGATCCAACACCATGGCGTGGGTGCCATGAGCTGTGTCTCGCAGAACAAGCCAAAGACGCGGCGGGGATATCCAGCCAAGCAGGATATTGGCACAGCATCATCACAACACAGATCAAGACAGCTGCCGATACCTTTCCACCAGCAGCATGGACTTCGTCGATCGTCTTGATGGCGTACAGATGATCGATACCGGGATCAACGCCGATCTCGTTGAAGACGGTGATTCCAGCGTCCTTGGCGCTGTAGACGGGGGGGATGCGAATCGCACATATGGGCAATAGAAGGCCAAATCAGCAAACGAAGGGCGCTGGATCGCATCTGCACAGGGGAATCACAGCATATCGGCAGGGTGCATATATACTACGTACGCTTGGTCGTACTCCATCATGGCAGGCGAGATGTAGCTGGTGGTGACGACGTGCTTCTTGTGCTGGACGGCAGCCTTGATGACGCGGGCGTGGTGGGTGTAGGGAATCAGACTGTGGGAGCAAGTAGAGACGGTGGACCCGGTGGGTAAACACTATGCACGGCAGAGAGTGCGGGGGGTAAACCCAAGTGAATGGGCACCAGCAGAAGAGAATAGAGAGGTAGATGGTCGACAAGGACGGAAATCCGGCACACAGAGCCTGCCATCAGCGCCAACCAATCTATGGATGGCAGTGGAAAGACAGACCTGATGACAAGGTCATGCTTGGCGATCTCGTTCGAAAGAGCCTCGTCGTTATTGACATCGAGGGTGATGGGGACGGCGTTGGGACGGCCAGCAGCCAAAGCGGTGGAGTTGGCGATGGTGCGGCTGGCTGTGGTTGTGGTTGTGGTTGTGGTTGTGGTTGTGGTTGTGGTTGTGGTTGTGGTTGTGGTTGTGGTTGTGGTTGTGGTTGTGGTTGTGGTTGTGGTTGTGGTTGTGGTTGTGGTTGTGGTTGTGGTTGTGGTTGTGGTTGTGGTTGTGGTTGTGGTTGTGGTTGTGGTTGTGGTTGTGGTTGTGGTTGTGGTTGTGGTGTGGTTGTGGTTGTGGTTGTGGTTGTGGTTGTGGTTGTGGTTGTGGTTGTGGTTGTGGTTGTGGTTGTGGTTGTGGTTGTGGTTGTGGTTGTGGTTGTGGTTGTGGTTGTGGTTGTGGTTGTGGTTGTGGTTGTGGTTGTGGTTGTGGTTGTGGTTGTGGTTGTGGTTGTGGTTGTGGTTGTGGTTGTGGTTGTGGTTGTGGTTGTGGTTGTGGTTGTAGGCGAGGCACACCGAGTCAGATACCGCAAAATGCTGCCAAGATCCACACAGATATCGAGGCAAACACCGCGACTAGAGGCAAGCATTCAAGCAGAGTCACATGGAAAGGATCTAGACTGAAACGAACCAATGGTGACGACGTTCTCGGGGCGTCGAAGGAGGTACTCGAGGCAAGGAGGGGCAACAAAGCCCGATCCGAGAAGCAGGATCTTCCTGTGGATGCGAATGGAAGGGAAAGCAGACACAAAATAAGTCCGAGACAGAGAATCGCATGCCCATGTGGATGAGCTGATTGTGGATGAGCTGATTGTGTCGCAGAGCACTCTTGCTGCGAGGAAGATTGCTGTCGCCAGAAGAGCGATACTCCGCACCACATACACCAGAATTGGCGATGAGGACGCAGAGGGGGAGTGGAGTGAACGCCAGCCAGCCCGCAGACCGGCCTGCAAACCGGAGTAGCAGCGGAAGCGAATATACGGGAATCAAGGCGCCGAGCTGGACGACGAGCTGGACGACTCACTTTTGCTGGGGAGCCATGTCGATCAAGGGGTGCGGATTGAAGAGCGGCAACGGCGATGGAGAGGCAAGACGGGCGTGGGTCGGGAAACCCAAGACAAGAAACCCCAGGCTTTGCTGGGCGGCGCTGCGCACGATCTGGCGCGGCTCGAGCCGGCTGCAGCCAAGACGCGGCCAAGCCACGCGCGGTGATGAGATGGCCAGCCAGATGAGATGCTGCGCAGCGCGCGGGGGGATGCATCGCTGAGCAAGGACCAGCAGACACAAGCGGATGGACGCCATCTCGGCAGGACGGGGCGCTGGGCCGCTGGCAGCTGCTGCCTTGGTGCTGGGGCATCGTCTGCCGGATGCTCGAGGCGGCCGGACATCTGCTGTCGAATACTCGCACCCGGCCAGCAGCAATCGCTGTCGCCCATATCCCACAGCAAGCATCGGCGACTATCCACACACACACACACACACAGGCCGATGTGGCTCAGCGGCGATCGGGCCAATCGGCGCGCGGGTGCACACGGACTGTGCGGCCCAGCAGCTGCGGTGCGACGGAGATGATCTGGGCGCTTGTTGCCCATCAGTCCGAGATGTGACAGATCAGTGCGTGGACGAGGCCGCAGCGAGACGCCGCCGAGGCGAGAACCCAGACAGCCGAGCTGGCGACAGCGACTGTGACACCGCCGACCCGAGGAGGCAGCGAGAGCACGCCGAGAGCGCGTCGAGAGCATGCCGAGAGCGACCGACACCTCACCGAGAGCCCTTCTCGTGCAGCTCTTATCTCATCTCGGCCTCGGCATTGGACAATGTGACAAAGGATCCGCGATTTTCCCTGGGAGCGGGCGCAACGATCTATCTAATCTCACTGCAACTCTGGCCCCCTCCGCCTATTTAACCCCCCGCAAAGGCCCAACCCTTGAGCCATCCTATCGCCCTGCCCCCACCTGCGCCATCTGCATCCTCCATCTTCCTGTCTGATACCATCCGCCATGCCCGAGGACCACGGAACCATCTACAAGCCCAAGTTCAAGGACTCGTTCTCGCGGGTCTCCAACTTTGCCATCATCGAGTCCACTCTGCGAGAGGGCGAGCAGTTCGCCAACGCCTTCTTTGATACCGAGACCAAGATCAAGATCGCCAAGGCCCTCGACGAGTTTGGCGTCGAGTACATCGAGCTGACCTCTCCTGCTGCCTCGGAGCAGTCTCGCTCCGACTGCGAGGCGATTTGCAAGCTTGGCTTGAAGGCCAAGGTAAGATGGGCACACCCACGGCGTGTCCCAAAGCGGCAGCCTCCGAGTGTTTCGTGGTCCAGGGCTACTTTTTGATCCGCCCTCCTTCCTGCGTCGACTGTCTGGTGTGTTCGGGCATGGGCGTTCAAGTGTGTGGGGCTACCTCTTTGCCCTTGGCCGGGACTCTCCCACGGCGCCTGGGATCATTTCCGCTGACTCGATTTACACTCGGCCGTTTCCAGATTCTCACCCACGTCCGCTGCCACATGGATGATGCCCGCATCGCTGTCGAAACCGGTGTTGACGGACTCGACGTTGTCATCGGCACGTCGTCCTACCTCCGCGAGTTCTCGCACGGCAAGGATATGGAGTACATCACCAAGCAGGCCATCGAGGTGATCACCTTTGTCAAGAGCAAGGGCCTCGAGGTTCGCTTCTCGTCGGAGGACTCGTTCCGCTCTGATCTCGTCGACCTCCTGAACATCTACAAGACCGTCGATCGAGTATGTATCCGCTTTGTACTGCACCGCACCAGGGACGGTCGCGACAATGCGTCGTGCGTGGCTGTGACCGAGCTGTTTATCCTGGAGCACGAAGCAGGCGCTGGCTCGACTGACGTTCTTGCGTTTGCGTTCCTCAGATCGGCGTGGACCGTGTCGGTATCGCCGATACTGTCGGCTGTGCAGATCCCCGCCAGGTCTACGAGCTCGTCAAGACCCTTCGCGGTGTTGTCTCCTGCGATATCGAGTGCCACTTCCACAACGACACCGGATGCGCGATCGCCAACGCCTACGCTGCCCTGGAGGCCGGAGCCACACATATCGACACCTCCGTCCTCGGCATCGGCGAACGCAACGGCATCACTTCCCTGGGTGGCCTTGCGGCGCGTATGTACGCTGCCGATCGCGAGTACGTCATGGGCAAGTACCGCCTGGACAAGCTCCGTGAGATCGAGAACCTGGTGGCCGAGGCTGTCCAGATCCAGGTGCCCTTCAACAACTATATCACCGGCTACTGCGCCTTCACCCACAAGGCCGGTATCCACGCCAAGGCCATCCTGAACAACCCCAGCACCTATGAAATCTTGAAGCCCGAGGACTTTGGGTGAGCATTCAGCAAGCGCAACTCGTTCGCTCTGCTCGGCTCTGCTTGGCTCGGGCGTCAGTGTTGGCGCTGAGTTGCCACCTCCCCCCCTCCTTCCCTGCTCCCGAGCATGAATGCAGCTTGTCTCTAACTCACCCAACCCTCCCCGATGCACCCCTTGTAGCATGAGCCGATACGTCTCCATCGGACACCGTCTCACTGGATGGAACGCTGTCAAGAACCGTGTCCAGCAGCTGTCACTGGATCTGAACGACGCTGAGATCAAGGCCGTCACCGCCCAGATCAAGGATCTCGCAGACATCAAGCCGCTGGGCATCGAAGAGGTTGACACGCTGCTCCGCAAGTTCCACGAGAAGGTCGTTGCCCCCGGCAGCCCGTACCGATCCTAAACTAAACCCAAAGGGTGGCGGTGTGGTGTGTGCATGACAAAATGTGACCCGGTCCCCCCAACGCAAGGGTGCGAGTGGGGGGAGCTTGCTCCTCAGCCAACCCCGGGAAGAGTTGCCGAAACCTCCCATTACTTATCTCGATCCCCCGAGGGCGAGCCCCAAGCACTACCCCCCAGTGCTTTCTGCTCCTCCCGCTACATTTTCTCTCCTCGCTTTCTTATTCTCGTATTTATTTGCAATTCCTCACCCTCTATCCTCTCCATTCCTGCTCTCTCTCACGATTTGACGGATCCCTTTTCTTCTTCCCTCTGGCTTGCTTATTTTGAGCCGCACCTGTCCATAATTCGACAACATTTTTTCTTCTTTCCATAAATACAATCTGCCCTCCTCAAAAATGGCAAAATGAGAGGACTCATCCAACGATTCAACACCATCTCTGCTGTCGCCCTGTTGTTGGTCCGGTCGATGTGTGGCGATGACTGAGAGAGAGAGAGAGCCTGTGGGAAAGGCGGGGGGGGGTCCCTGCTGGGCCACGAGGGGATGCCAAGATAGCAAATGCGATATCTAGGTCTGCTGGGGCAAGGATTGCATGATTATGGGAGGGGGGTCATCGAGCAGCAAGGCAAGGCCCCGAGCCAACCATGTAAAAATATGATCCCACTCCTTCCTCGCACCAACCAGCTCAACAGGACTGAGATCGGGGCCTTTCTTTTTCTGTCAAAGCAGGCGCAGTGTCGGGATTCTGGTCTGCGGATTATCAGTCAGCGGCGAAATAGCACGACCTGGGGGCATGCGGAGAGATGGCGGGGCGGACAGAGGGAAGTGCACATAGGAGTGGATGTTGACACATGGCCAAGTCAGATATTCTTCTGAAGGAGAGGCTGGGGAGCACTGGAACAAGAGAAAACCGCTCGGTGCAGCACAGCCAGCAGACGGAAACGGTGGTGGATCTTGGAGGAAGGATGGTGGAGAGAAGATGGGGCATCGGCGACAAGAAGCGAGCAGGATGAGTGCCGGTATGACAGTATCGCAGACAAGCCGGAGGATGGGAGCACAGCCAGGCAGACCAACGTCGCGCCGACAAATACAATGATGAGAGGCGTCTATTGTGTCTATGCCGGGCTAGTGTGCTCTGTGAGGGATTATGTCGATCATTTACTTCTTGATGACATCAAAGTCCTTGGGAGGATCAACAATGCCGTACAAGACAGCAGCCGCCTCCATCAGCGAAGCAATCAGCTGGAGGATCAGCGTCACCGGAATGCGCGCAATCACCAGGAAGATGTTGGCGCCCTTGTCGAGGTCTTGGATGAAGTTGCCGATCAAGTACAGGTACATGAACACAACCCACGAGAAGTTGGTCAAGAACACGAACCAGCGAGGGGTCGTGTAGTGCTGGAAGGTGCCGTCGGGCAGTTGCTGCACCATAACGAAGCCGAGGATAGTCGTGGCAATGAGGGACAGGACGCTGACGACCGAGAGCGTCCAGAAGAAGGCCCAGACGCGAGGGAGGAATTGAGGAAGTCGGCGGATGCCGACGTACCAGCGGCGACGCTGCTTCAAAAAGTCGATGAATCGCATGGGCGACTGCTCGCGGATGATGGCGGGCACCTTGCCGCACTTGAATCCCTTCTTCCAGGCGACCATCGCAAACTGATAGTCCTCAGTCAAACCTGGTGAATCAGGATCGTCCAGGGACCGCCAATGCACGAGCGAGATTTCGGAATTAGCAAGTCTCGGATGGAGGGAGAGGCCTCACCAATAAGGCGGCCAGAAATACAAGAACAGCAACAGCGACGACACGACACTTACTGCCAAGATCCCAAGTCACCGCGTTCTCAACTGCTCCGTTGGTCAGCAGGAACGATCCGTGTGCTCCAAAGATCGGTCGCTTGAAGTACGTGTACTGCAGCTGGAACCGCGACACGTCGTCGCCGACTCGCAGTGCGTCCGCAACAGTGTAGATCCAGTTCTTCCAGTAGTTGTACTGGTTGTAGAGGATCACACCCTGGCCCCATGTGCAGTCGTGCTCGTACCAGATGAACCGGAGCACACGGCGCACGGACTCGTCATCAATGACAGACTCTTCGTCGAGATGCAGCACCCAGTCACGCTCCGTGAACTTCATGGTCTGGCGGTACCACTCGAGGGCGCGGGCCTTGTACTTGGAGCGGCCGGTGGCAAAGCTCTTGGGACAGGTGTAGCAGTTGATGTTCTCGAAGAAATAGGGCTCGTCCGTGAGCACATGGACGCGGACACACGGGTCCAGTCGCTCGAGGTGCTTGTGGGCGTTCCAGGATCGATAGACGGCCTGTTGGGCAGCAAGCGAACGCAAGGGCAGCAAGCGAGCGCAAGGGCAGCAAGCGAGCACAAGCGCAGTCAGAGAGTCAGCAGAGAGAACACGCACGATGGTGCGGTGGTGCGGCGGTGTCAGTGCAGCAGGAGGCAATCACTGCAGCAGGAGGCAATCACAGCAGCAGGAGGCAATCACTGCAGCAGGAGGCAATCACTGCAGCAGGAGGCAATCGCAGCAGCAGCACATGCGGGAGCAAACGCACATCGCGGTTGTCGCCCTTGGTGACTGTCAGGATGTACAGGTTGTCGATCTTTCTCTTGCGGAGCGAATCGTTGTAGATGAACTTTGGAGTGCGGAACGGCAGCGCCAGACCGAGGAAGCAGATCAGCGTGTAGGGCAGCGGCAGCAGCAGGCCTGTGCAAGCGAGCAAGCGGGCAAGTGGAAGAGATCGGCAATCAGCAAATGCAATCGATGACGGCCAAAGGATGCCGATCCGGCGTTGACATGGAACGAAGGCATGGATCCGAGATATGCGCCAGTCATATCAGAGAGGAGCAGGCAGGCAGGCACGCAGGCAAGCAAGCAGGGCACCGCGGGAGCTCATACATACCCAGTTTCCAGTAGCAAGAGGTGTTCCAGAGCTGATAGTCGTCAGGCACGGATCCGGGCAGCCAATTGTAAAACGTCAGGAGGTAGGTGGCGCCGACGATCACGATGGTTGAGACAAGCCAGAGCTCAGAGAGGATCGCCATGATCAGGTTGGTGTGGCCCAGGTTGGTGCGAACGCCCTGGTCGTCCATCGAGGCATAGGACTGCGACGGAACATTTGGATGGGCATGGTCGCTCTTGGTCGTGGTCCTGCGATTGAGACTGTTGCCCGATCGGCCAAGGGTGCTTGAGCGGCCGAGAGTGCCGGATCGCCCGAGTGTGCTTGAGCGGCCCAGTGTACCCGACCGCGTGAGCGAGCCAACTTTGCGGTTGAGGGACGAGAGCGGGCCCCCAGCCTTTTCGACTGCAGGTCCCGACTCGAGAGCCACTGGCGTAGAAAGCGCAGAGTCGCCGGCCGACAGCACTGTGGGATGTGCAGATTCGCCGAGGGTCATATCCAGCTGCGAGCCCGGATCGACAGGATCAAGGTCGGCCCAGGAGTTGAAGTCGGAAGGGAGGGGCTGGTGGGTATTGGCAAACCGGGGATCGACCCATCCCGAAAAGCTCCGGGAAGGCTCGTGGGAATGAGGTTGGATCTCTTGGACCGTATCTTCGGAGGGCTTCTCCTGCTGAGTATCGGAGTGAGGGAGACTCATGGGTTGCAGATCTCGTCTGGCGAGGACAGAGCAGCAGGAGGTCAGGAGCCGAGAAAGGAGGCGAGCTACGATGGGGCATCAAGGGGAGACACCAGCCGACTGACAGAAAAGCGTAAACTGTGAACTGGGCAAACCTTTGGACTGGCCAGGGGTAGGTACGAGGGCTAGGACAGAGCAACGAGCAAAGTCGCTAACGTTTCTACTTGATGTGGTGCCAAAGTTGGGAAGCGTTGGCACGTTGGCGATACGCGGGACCAAGGGAGCAGGCCGGCAGGGATGCGGTTGGGGAGACCAGCAATGGAAACGCAGCACGTTAGACGGGTGGTCGACAACGCAGCATCCAGATAGCAATCCAGAGCGAGAGGTGGCAATGATATCCAAGAACGAAGAAAAGCCGAAGGAGCAACTTGACGATAAGAGCGAGTTGGGGGGGGGAGAAGGAGAGGAAGGGGGAAGGGTAGGCCGCTGGACAGCTCCAGAGGCGATGGAGGGGGGGGGCAGGGCAGCAAACGCTGTCCAAGACATATGGAAGAGTGCGGCAGCCCGGGAACAGCGGGACCCGATGCATCAGCGCCAGACAGAGCGGCCATCGACGTACAGTAAGGCGGAACTTCCGGCCGAAGGGCAAAGGCAGCCAGAGGCGGTTGGGTGGCCGGACAGGAGGGCGGAGCGGGCGGGACCGACGGCCGTCTTGCGACTTGCTCGGGGGTTGCCTGGGAGTCTCGAGGGATATCGAGCAGGGAGGGTGAGCCGAGACGGTCGATTGTTCCGGCGATGGTCTCTTTTGCACCGGCAGAGAGATGGAAAGAGACGACGCCGTCGATGGGCGAAACGGAGGACGTGAAGGAAAAGGAGTTGGCGATGGGAAGGGCCGAAGCCAGAGCGCAAGTCAAAGTCAAAGTCAAAGTGAAAGTGAAAGTGAAAGTGATAGCCAAAGTGATAGCCAAAGTGAAGGTGAGAGCAATGGTGAAAGTAAGAGGCAAGTCCGGCTGGAACAATGTCTGCTGTGTGACCGCAACGCGTCGTACTGGCACAGCCCGTCACAGTCTCAACAGCCCATGTCCCCAGAAAGGTGATACAGGTGCGACCACAGCGCGAGATACAGTCGCGACTCAGCGGCCACAGCGCCGCCCTGTGTCAACCCCCGGGGTCCATTCGCGGCTCATCGCCGCTGCCTCAGCCTATACGAACTGCATCGGGCTGTGCTCTCGGTCGGATACACCGCCTCGCTGCTCACAGCTGTGTGGCCTGCAAGAGCAGCCCGCACCGCCGCTGACGCGGTGGCTTGCTCAGCCACGGCGGCGATTGCGGCGGGTTTGCGGCCAAGTCACAGTTGCACATCCTCGGTCGGAGTTTTGCCGTCCGGCCGAAAGGATCTGGGTCGGAGCGTCCGGAATCTCGATCCGGTCTGGCGGCCAGCGCGGATTGCTCTGGCCAGTGTCTCGAGCCACGACGGAGGCAATCGCCTCGGTGCCCTGTGCCATAGCCGATCATCGACGCGTGTTGCCCCAATCGTCCTGATGCAAGATCGATTCTGTTTATTCTGGATACATATCCAGCGGCATATACATCAAGTCTGGCTGTCTGGCCAGTGTCGGTGAGAAGGAGGCTGCACGGAGGTGTTCTGTCAAGATGACAGTGTAATGCGATGCAAAACATTGGAGACAAACTGGAATGATCGCATCTGGGCCGAAATGATCGCATCCGAAGCCGAAATGATCGCATCCGAATCCGAAATGATCGCATCTGGAACGGACTCAGTCAGACAATCATGTCCCAAACCAGCCCACGCGAAATTGCCAGTCGGGCGGACGGCCGGGCCATCGTCAGCGACCGCGGCATTGTCGAATTGCTGAGTCTCAGCGGACCGCTGGGTGGTCCTCAGCGGATCGGGATCGGGCGGCTGACGGCCTCGGCCCGCTTCTGGATGGCAATCTTGAGCACTCCGGCCTCGTCCAGGCTGGCGACGGCCGTCTCAAAGTTGGCGTCTTGGTTGAACCGCAGCTTGAGCTGGAACTTGCCAAAGGATCGCTTTGAGATCAGGAACACAGACTTGCGCTCGGTGGGCTGTGTGGCTCTGGATGTGCTGGCACCGGTGGCATCGGTGGCATCGGTGGTATCGGTGGCATCGGCGGGATCGTCGTGGACATGCACAAACTCCTCGTGTGCGGCACTGGCGGTTGAAGTGGCTGCCGGCTCGCCCGAGTTGGTGTCTGTCGAGGTGGTTGTTGGCACGGCCGACTCGGTTGGAATGCGGGTCCGCTCGCCTTGGAGAACAAGGAGGTCCTTCTCGGTGCTCAGGGAGATGCTTCCCTGTGCCATGCAAATCGATCGAGACAGTGGCCGTGGTGGGAGTGGTGGGAGTGGTATGAGTGGTGGAATGGTGGAGTGGTGGAATGGTGGGAGTGGTTCGAGTGGTATGAGTGGTATGAGTGGTATGAGTCGGAGCGACATAGAAGGCTGACAGCAGAAGCGACATTGGCAGAGGCAGCACAGGGGTGGCTCCTGAGAACAGACCCTGAGAACAGACCCTGAGAACAGGCCCTGAGAACAGGCCCTGGGTGGTTCCTGGGAGCAGACTCTTACCTTCTTGACACCGGGGAGATCAACAAAGATCTCGTACGAGTCCGGCCGCTCGACGACATCGTATGCGGGACGGTAGTCGTACTCCTTGTGTGCGGTGTTGGTGCCGTCGACGGTGTAGTAGTAGAAGATCGGGACTCTGGTGCACATGGCTGGGGTGGATTGCTGGTGTCTGGATGGTGGTGTCTGGATGGTGGTGTCTGGATGGTGGTGTCTGGATAGTGTCTCTGGATGGTGGTGTCTCTGGATGGTGGTGTCTCTGGGTGCTCCCAGCAGCCGTGCTTTTATATCATCCTGCAGCGACCCTGGTCGAATCGCACTCGGCCGGCCTGCACCCCTCGCCCCTGCGATTTCTCATCCGCCCCCCTGGTCTCTTGGCGCTGCCGAAGACGAGCGAATGCATCCGAACGCATCCGAATGCATCCGAATGCACCAGCACCACCGCGACCGCGCCGAAACCGGGGCGACTGACAAATGCATTGTGTGTAACATTGGGTTCCAGACAGCTCGCTCTGCCAACATCACCCCGTCCACCGCCGATCCTGATCGCTGCGTCATCTGGGGGTGCAGTCGATCAGAGGAGTTTTTGTGATGCAGCGAGCATAATCGTTCGAACGACAGTCATGCGGGACAGTGCCTTCCGGCCCGGAAGGGGAAAGGGACAGCTCTTGGGAAGACCAGCACATCGCATCACAGCACACAAACGACGCAACTCGCAAGGCATCGTGCATCGTGAGTGGACTAGAATGTATTCCGGGATCCGAAGAATAGAGGCATCGCTGGTCACAAACACAGGGGCATCTCCCGGTTGATGTTGTGCCGGCATAAATAATATCCTAAGGCGATGAAAGCGGACATGGAAAAGGAACGAAAAAGGAGGGAACAACCGTCAAGGAGGAGGGGAGAGAGCACGAAATGACAAGCAACCCGCTCCAAAATGCCGACAAATGATCATCGTTCATCTCTTCTGCTGATAAGGGGAGAGATGGAGAAGAGCACGGCAAAGGAGAAGGTCGGGATGCCACAACGAGGAATGAGATAACACGAAGATGGTTTTCTATCTAAGACAAGGGCGATCTTGACTGAGTGACTATTGTGAGGGAAGAGGGAGAGAAAAGGAAATCGAACAGACGAGGGAGGAAGCCCCGTTGACCAGGAACCAAACAGGCCCCCGGCTCATAAGGGTTCAGCCATCGTAGGCAAAGATGGTGACGCGATTTACTTCTTGATGACATCAAAGTCCTTGGGAGGATCAACAATGCCGTACAAGACAGCAGCCGCCTCCATCAGCGAAGCAATCAGCTGGAGGATCAGCGTCACCGGAATGCGCGCAATCACCAGGAAGATGTTGGCGCCCTTGTCGAGGTCTTGGATGAAGTTGCCGATCAAGTACAGATACATGAACACAACCCACGAGAAGTTGGTCAAGAACACGAACCAGCGAGGGGTCGTGTAGTGCTGGAAGGTGCCGTCGGGCATAGGTTGGAGCAGAACGAAGCCGAGGATGACGGTCACGATGAGGGAGACGATGCTGACGACCGAGAGCGTCCAGAAGAAGGCCCAGACGCGAGGGAGGAACTCGGGCAGTCGGCGGATGCCGACGTACCAGCGGCGACGCTGCTTCAAAAAGTCGATGAATCGCATGGGCGACTGCTCGCGGATGATGGCGGGCACCTTGCCGCACTTGAATCCCATATCCCAAGCCTGCATCGCGAACTGGTAGTCCTCAGTCAAACCTGTGGAAGGCACAGTGGTTAGAACAATCCGACTCGAGCATAGAATGAATAGCAAAATGTGTCGACAGAAAGGTGCAACGAGGGCAAAGGATGCAAGGGGTGGCTCGAGGAAATGTGAACAAGCACTGGTTTGGAGGGTTGCAAACACACACGACGAGTAGGAAATGTGCATGTCGGCGCGACCATGGCGTGAAGATAGCAAAGGCGAGCCAACGAAAGGAGAGCAAGAACAAACATGACACTTACTGCCAAGATCCCAAGTCACCGCATTCTCAACTGCTCCGTTGGTCAGCAGGAACGATCCGTGCGCTCCAAAGATCGGTCGCTTGAAGTACGTGTACTGCAGCTGGAACCGCGACACGTCGTCGCCGACTCGCAGTGCGTCCGCAACAGTGTAGATCCAGTTCTTCCAGTAGTTGTACTGGTTGTAGAGGATCACACCCTGGCCCCACGTGCAGTCGTGCTCGTACCAGATGAACCGGAGCACACGGCGCACGGACTCGTCATCAATGACAGACTCTTCGTCGAGATGCAGCACCCAGTCACGCTCCGTGAACTTCATGGTCTGGCGGTACCACTCGAGGGCGCGGGCCTTGTACTTGGAGCGGCCGGTGGCAAAGCTCTTGGGACAGGTGTAGCAGTTGATGTTCTCGAAGAAATAGGGCTCGTCCGTGAGCACATGGACGCGGACACACGGGTCCAGTCGCTCGAGGTGCTTGTGGGCGTTCCAGGATCGATAGACGGCCTGTTGGGCAGCAAGCGAACGCAAGGGCAGCAAGCGAACGCAAGGGCAGCAAGCGAGCACAAGCGCAGTCAGAGAGTCAGCAGAGAGAACACGCACGATGGTGCGGTGGTGCGGCGGTGTCAGTGCAGCAGGAGGCAATCACTGCAGCAGGAGGCAATCACTGCAGCAGGAGGCAATCACAGCAGCAGGAGGCAATCGCAGCAGCAGCACATGCGGGAGCAAACGCACATCGCGGTTGTCGCCCTTGGTGACTGTCAGGATGTACAGGTTGTCGATCTTTCTCTTGCGGAGCGAATCGTTGTAGATGAACTTTGGAGTGCGGAACGGCAGCGCCAGACCGAGGAAGCAGATCAGCGTGTAGGGCAGCGGCAGCAGCAGGCCTGTGCAAGCGAGCAAGCGGGCAAGTGGAAGAGATCGGCAATCAGCAAATGCAATCGATGACGGCCAAAGGATGCCGATCCGCGGCGTTGACATGGAACGAAGGCATGGATCCGAGATATGCGCCAGTCATATCAGAGAGGAGCAGGCAGGCAGGCACGCAGGCAAGCAAGCAGGGCACCGCGGGAGCTCATACATACCCAGTTTCCAGTAGCAAGAGGTGTTCCAGAGCTGATAGTCGTCGGGCACGGATCCAGGGAACCAGTTATAGAAGGTCAGGAGGTAGGTGGCGCCGATGATGAAGATTGTCGAGAACAGCCACGACTCGGAAAGAAGGGCCATGATCAGGTTGGTGTGGCCCAGGTTGGTGCGAACGCCCTGATCGTCCAGGAGAGCATAGGACTGCGAGGGGATGTTGGGGTGCAGCGAGGACTTGGTATTGGAGCGACCGATAGTGTTACCGCGGCCGAGAGTGCCGGATCGACCCAGGGTGCCGGATCGCCCGAGTGTGCCGGAGCGGCTGAGCGAGGTCATTTTTCTGCCCAACGAGGCTAGGCCGCCCGTCTTCTCGGAGGGCAGCTCGGCAAAGGAGGTCTCTTTGTTCAGGGGAGGGGGAGTCGGGTTGTCGTTGAAGGAGTTGGGGGGCAAGCCGGAGAGGTCGCGGGATTCACGGACCGAGGGGCCGCGAAAGACGTTTCCGGGCACCGAGGCGGGGGCATCGTAGTCGGCCCAGGAGTTGGCGTTGGGCGGGGCCTGCTGGCTGGCCGCTGCGGGGAAGCGGGGGTCAACCCAGCCGTGGGTGGGGATGTTGGTGGGGCGGGCTTGCTGAGGAGGGTATTGGGAGTTGAGGATGCTCATGGGAACGTCGGCCTTGCCGTTGGGGTGGATGGGCTGGTACTGCGGGTGAGCCGGCTGCGAATACGAAGGCTGCGAATACGAAGGCTGCGAATACGAAGGCTGCGAATACGAAGGCTGCGAATACGAAGGCTGGGCACCGAGCCCGTGAGGAGGCGGCGGGGGTGCTGCCTGAAAGTGGCCCTGGTGGGCGAATCTTGGGTCTGCGCTGCTGTTTGGGTTCATGGCTTATCTGGAGACGGCCAGAGTCGATATTGTGGTCACGCCAGGCACAGCACAACACAGCAACGAGTACCGCCCAGAACGGGATATATCGTATGCGGGGGAGACGTTGATGGGAGACAGGGAGAGTGAGCAACGGGTCGGGGCCGGCAACAGAGCCGTGTCAGGGAGCATAAGAGAGCCAGCCCAAGCTGGAATGGTCTCCGCCAGCCCGATCGGCCAGACAGAGAGCGCCGGATACCAACCTGCAGCGACGGTTCGGGTCTCGAGGTGGAGCCGAGGCAAAGACGGAGCAGTGTCTGGGCAGAGGGCAGGCGATGCTATGTACCGCAACTCGAGGCGACAGCAGGGAGGTGGAGTCGACGGGGGCCAGGCGGGTCAAGCAGGCGGCGCCCAGAGCGGAGACAGATACGGAGCAGAGCGAGCCGGACGAGCAGAGCAAGCAGCGAGGGCGGGTTTTTGACCCACGAGACGAGGACGGGCGGGAGAGGGGGAATGAACTGCTGCGCGGATCGAGCGGCTCGCACAAGGCCGGCCGAGGCGACACCGCGACAAGGAGGCCAGAGACCAAGAAGAGAATAGCAACAGCAGCACAACAACAGCAGTAGCAGAGAAACAGAGAAACAGAGAAACAGCACAAGTGGAGAGCCTTGGGTCGGGCTGTGCCAGGTATGCTGTACAGTGCCGCTGCGCACTCTGGGGCGGCTCTGTGGAGGCTGTTGGTGTGGGCAGCGATTCCATGTGCGACATGTCTCGCGTCTGTGCGTGGGACACGGGCGTGTGTGGCTGGATCGAGCGCTGGCCTGTCGGCACCGATACTGCTAACTGCTACAGCGACAGGGCAGACACGTCTGCTCGAGAAAGAGACCCGCCCCCCGACGCGACACCGCAAGAAGGTCGCCAAATATAGATTCCCGAGCCGACACAAGGGCCGGACAAGACCTATCCAGCCTGTCCGCGCCTGCGCTGCTCTGGTTGTGGCTGCGACAAGCGGCAAGCACAGCGCGACTGCGCGCGCGCGTCGCACATGCATCGCACAATCTCGGCCCCGACGCGCCGGCAGAACCCGGGCTTGTCGACGCCGCGTTCGTGTGCGACCGCGATGGCGCAGAGGGTATACGCCTCCGCTGTCGGGCACGGCGAGAGGCGGGCGGCGGTGCAGGTGGCGGCCGTATTGCGGCCTTGTTGCCATCTGCCCCGCCTCCACGCACGGGGGGCGGAGCCGATACAGCGCCCTGCAACCGCATCCGAAAGCCGCTGACGGTGCGAAAAGCGTCGTGGGACATGGACAAGGCACATTAGCGAACGCACGAGGACGGTACTAACACCGCCACGACCTGGGTGTATAGGTAGTTTCAGCGTGCATCTCCATCCGCATCTGCATACATCTCCATCCGCATCTGCATACATCTCCATATCCATCTGCATCTGAGCGTGCATCTGCAGCTGTGACGGCTGGACAGGTCTCTGAACAACGACACTGCACGTCGCCAGCACCGGGCCATTAATATTGGCGGCAACACGTCCGTTCGACACGGAAAGAAAAAGAACAGACGAGAAGGCCCATCAGGAAAGGACAGCTTCGTCTGGCTGCGACACACCTTGCCAGCACAAGCAAGCCTTGCGGGTCCATCTCCAACATGTCAACGCCCTCGACGGGAAAGGATCTATTATTTATGGAAGGAACTCGCCAGCACAGGCAGATCCACACCAGTCAAGAGATGGGGCATGCCCCGGTTCGCTGTGCCATTCCCATCGCAATCGAGTCGGCACTCGGCTGATATCGCGAAAGCCCTTCGTTTGCATGGATCGGTCTCAGGTTCCTCCAAGGCCCAAGGGATATCCGTTCAGCATAGGTGCTCAGTTGTACCTGCTGATGCACCGGTTTGGAGCCATTCCGAATCGGTCTGAACTATGACGGAATCACCTCACCTTGGGCATCTCGCCATTTCGATCGACTGATTTCGATCGACTGATTTCGATCCGCGAGCCGGCTGTCGAGTCCGCGATCAAAAGCACACCGCATTCCGGGGGGCATCGCCAAAAGACCCCACACAGCATCTCTGATCTGGGCCGGCATATCGACCTGGACGACAGCCCGGCGCCGTGGCAGCCCGAGCGGCTCTGTATTGCCCAGGAGCGTCGATCTGGAAGTGCGGTTGGCTCAAGCAAATGCCGAGAAACAGGCAGGCGGAAATGCAGGCAAATCCGGGCTTGAAGACTTGCCATGCTGGACTGGTTGGTAGTGGCAAACCGACTCGCAGGGTATTCGACTGCAGATATTCGATTGCAGATATTCGATCGCAGACAACCAGCGGACGGGCCATCGGCAAGGATCGCAGAGCACCCCCGACATAGCAAACCCGCTGATCGCCAAACCCCGGCCGGTCCATCCGCCAATTGTCAAGGCACGGCGTCTGTCCAGCGCAGGCGCTATTCTCGATCGAAATGCAGAGCCTCACAATGCATCCTCTGCTGAGCGCTGCAGCCGATCCGATCAAGTGCTGCCCGGCGATCTGCCTGGGCGATTGCTCCGACCGGGGTGGGCTGACTGGACGAGGAGGCCAGCCCAGACAGGGAGATCAGCCAGACCAGGGACCAGCCATCAACCCGTCTGGGTGATGGTCGCTTCCAAGGACACTTTTCGAGGGCATCGTCCGCTGCTTGGTGTGGCCCGACCGTTTGCTGCAGATCTGTTGTGGATCAACTGCAGATCAACTGCCGATCAACTTCAGATCAACTTCAGATCTCGGCTGCCTTTGCCCTTGATCTGACGGCATCCTCGAACTCGCTCATCGCACCCATCGCACCCATCGCACCCATCGCACCCATCGCATCCATCGCATCCGCCACCAACGCTCTCCCTCCGCCAGCCCCGCCCTCGTCCCGCCCGGCTCTCGCTCTCCCTCTTCTCTCCAACCCCCACACGTCGCGCTGCCCCACAACCCCGCGAACAATCCAGCAATTTGCCGCCCCGGCGCCCGCCCGCCCGCCAGCCACAGTGCGGCCGGATCGGCGCCGCCTCGCCCAAGCCACACCCTCGTGAGTGGTCCGCCCGCCGGCCCGCCCCAATCGGGGCATATGAATGCCTTGTCGTGTCGCCGCGTGGCGCAGCAGCCGCGCACCAACAACGCGAAAAAATTTTTTCGCCAGGGTGCAAAAAAAAAAGCTGCGTCGGCGGGCAGCGGGCAAGCGCGGGCTATAAAGCCGGGGCCAGCGGCGGCGATCGGCACGATCAGCTTTTTCTTTCTCTCTACGTTCGCTGATCCTCTCTGTCATCCTCGAGCATCATCTTTCACCATGGGCAAGGAAAAGTCTCACATCAACATTGTCGTCATTGGCCACGTCGACTCTGGCAAGTCGACCACCACCGGCCACATGATCTACAAGTGCGGTGGTATTGACAAGCGTACCATTGAGAAGTTCGAGAAGGAAGCCGCCGATCTCGGCAAGGGTTCCTTCAAGTACGCCTGGGTTCTTGACAAGCTCAAGGCCGAGCGTGAGCGTGGTATCACCATCGATATCGCTCTCTGGAAGTTCGAGACCCCCAAGTACTACGTCACCGTCATTGATGCCCCTGGCCACCGTGATTTCATCAAGAACATGATCACCGGTACCTCCCAGGCTGACTGCGCCATCCTCATCATCACCGCCGGTGTTGGTGAGTTCGAGGCCGGTATCTCCAAGGATGGCCAGACCCGTGAGCACGCTCTCCTTGCTTTCACCCTCGGTGTCAAGCAGATGATCGTTGCCGTCAACAAGATGGACACCGTCAAGTACTCTGAGGAGCGCTTCAACGAAATCGTCAAGGAAACCTCCAACTTCATCAAGAAGGTCGGCTACAACCCCAAGGCCGTCGCCTTCGTCCCCATCTCGGGCTGGCACGGTGACAACATGATCGATCCCTCCGACAACATGCCCTGGTTCAAGGGATGGAACAAGGAGACCAAGGCCGGCGCCTCCACCGGCAAGACCCTCCTCAACGCCATCGATGCCATCGAGCCTCCCCAGCGCCCCACCGAGAAGCCCCTCCGCCTTCCCCTCCAGGATGTGTACAAGATCGGCGGTATCGGCACTGTCCCCGTCGGCCGTGTCGAGACCGGTGTCATCAAGCCCGGTATGGTCGTCTCGTTCGCCCCCTCGGGTGTCCAGACTGAAGTCAAGTCCGTCGAAATGCACCACGAGTCCCTCGCTGAGGGTCTCCCCGGAGACAACGTCGGCTTCAACGTCAAGAACGTCTCCGTCAAGGATATCCGCCGTGGCTTCGTCGCCTCTGACATCAAGAACGACCCCGCCAAGGAGTGCGCTTCCTTCAACGCCCAGGTCATTGTCCTCAACCACCCCGGTCAGATCGCCGCTGGCTACTCGCCCGTCCTCGATTGCCACACTGCTCACATTGCCTGCAAGTTTGCTGAGCTCGTTGAGAAGATCGACCGTCGTTCCGGCAAGAAGCTCGA